AAACGCATATGCTTATGTGATTTCCCAGAAGAATGGCAGTGCTGCAGGTACTAATCCACTGAAGAAAACTCTCTGCAGCTTGAGCTGAATCCATGTGTTTGAATACACTATTTTATAAGTTGTTGCCCTCTCCTGGATTGCCCTATTTGACATATTCAAGGGGAAGCACACACAACTAAAGAGGAGTGCACAGTTCACAGATGAAGAACAGTGAATCCAGCTTATTTTTATGCAAAAGCTCCCGAGTATTAGCCCTAGACCCAGCATATGCTCAGTGTCTCATTTGATGAATGCTGTTTCTGATCTCCCAGGGCCTCAGGAGAATTTGTCAGGTCAACAAGGCTTCAGATCTACATACACATTTTATTTCCTGTTTAATATATATATAAACTGGTACCTAAACTTCTTACATTGAATCCAACAGAGTTGGTGACTATAAAGTAAGACAAAACTATGTAATTAATCCAAGACATAAGTAAAAAGTAAAACCCCTCAGGAAGAACATTCAAAAAAAGATCTAGAACAACACAAAAGAGAGGTTTCCAAGTGTTAATGTCCCTTATCTCTTATGAGAAGGTTAGTTCAGTGTTCAGAGCAGTCACCTAGGACACAGGAGGAAAACTGCAAGTCTTTGTCCTGCTAGGCACTACCATGAGCAAGTCCCATACGACCCTGATCACATTTCCTACTAAAGTACTTTGGATGGGAATCACCTTCCCTTTCTTCTGCAGTGCAGACTTGACATCTGAGACAGTCCCTCTCCACTCATCCTTACAGTCAGTGAGCTGACAAGGCGCTTACAGAGTGCAGATCAACTTGCCTATTTTAGACCTATGTTATGATGAGATGAATCCTGTCCTGTAGATCAAGTGCTGATTTCTCTTCATGACTGACAGAGACCCCAGAAAAATCACTCAGACTTATACATGTTCCAAGGAATCCCACTCCCTAGAGCATGAATTAAGCTTAGTTCCTAAACACAAAATAACTCCCTGCCTGGGAGACAGACACCTGACAGTCACTGCTGTGAAGGTCTGCAGTGTTGGCTGAGTTGTAAACAATAAAGAGTTTAATTCTGTAGCCTAGTAAAAATGTCGTGTCACCTGAGAAGAACCAGGAAATACTGAGTCAACTGTCTGTCCACATGCAAAAATCAGTGCAAATCCCAGTCTCACAGAGACAGTTAATAGGGCGACTACAGGAATGTGATGTTCTGAGAAAGATGCAGATGTCAGATATAAAAAGCAGTGATTTTTTCTGGCTCTCCTAAGCATCATCACACAATGTATTTCTGTTCTGAACCCAGCTCAAACCACCTAACATTGGGATACTTGTCCACACCAACTGCAGCTTTATTTCTTTGGTTTCAAAAACCTTAAGAGGTTATTGCCTCTGATACCCTCTCCAACACTCAGGGTCAACCACCTGTCACATACCACTATTTCCCCAGAACTTCATGCAGAGCTCCCTCTGTGGTCATTTGCTCTTTTGCAGATTCACTTTGACAGAAATTATTTTAGAGATTTATTGCTTGAGCAGCCACACTGACAGATTTGAGGAGACAGCAATTTCTGTTTGTGGATAGGAGGCAATGGGGCCGTGATGAGCTATGAGAGTTAAATCAGAGAATGAAAACCTCTGCAGCCATCCTAAAAAATCCCAACATGACCAAGACCTCTACCTCCCAGCTCAGACTTGGGAATTGTCCTCCATGAGACCATGTCTTAATTTAGTGTTGATAACACTCACTGTGCTCTTAATTAAAACTCTTTACTTGGACCCTGTCTTCTCTACACTTCTGTTCACCAGCTATAGGATACAGACAGTATACTTCTACCTTGCAAAATGATGAGGTATCCAGATCTTATAGTAGCCATATAAAGTGGATCTGTTATTTATTTCTGCCCAGCTCATGTACATCAACCTCTCTGCTCATCCATAAACTGTCATTTGCAAAAGATCCTCCATCCACAAATGTCTCTAATTAACTGTTCATTCAGAAGTCAGATCATCGTGGTGATCATATCCAGTACAGAAAAGGTGCATACAATTGTAAGGGTGGCATAGATGAGCAGAGCACAGTCCCTTGCTATCCACAAAGCAGCTACATGACGGAGTGCATATTCTCCTACAAATCAGCTCCTCTAAGACCAGAACAGTCTCGTGCCCTCAGTCAAAGCTCCCTGCACAGTCATAAACTGCCATCACTCTCCAGCTAGGCAGCCTCATCCCTAGATTTTAAAGCCTACTCACCAGAAGGGACTGTCTGCAGCCAGCTGGAAACAACGATGTGGCTGCTGAGAGACAGAGTCCCCAGCCCACAGATGGGAAAGCAGGGAGGTAGCACCCAGCAGATGGTGGAAGCAAGGGAGGGTAACAGGAGACGGCCACGTCCCCCCATTCTAGCTGCGGCTTCCACTAAGGGTGAGAAAGAAATGTTCATGACTTTCAGCCTTGGAGCCACATTACAAAAATCGACAATGTGCTCCAGGAGCTTCCCACTTAAAGAAAGTTTTGCCAAACAGCCATGCTGAGAGGCCATGGCACTTCAAAGCTTCTCACTCTTGTCTGCACAAGCCCAACCCAAGCAAACTTCAAGGAGTCCTTTACTGAAATTTCCCTTTACTCGGCTCCATGTTCTCGCACCGTGACCAAAAATGCAGTGAATAGGCAGACCAGATAATGTCTTAATTTCTGAGTAGTTGTTGGCTAAATGTTCCCAGTAATCCACCAAATAAAGAAGTCTCTCTCCATCTGCAGATATTTGACCTGATTTACTAATTACTTGAACATCAACACAGTTTCAGTGTCTCAGAAGCCAGGCTACATCTGCTCTGGATCACCAGACTGAAACTGAGCTGCTGTGGCACCCTGGTGTACCTGACCCATCATCTGTAATAAGATCCTCTAGTTTTTTTATTTTTTTTTTTTGCCTCCTCTTTTTTTTTTTTTTTTTTTTTTTAAGAGCTGTTTACTTCACAAGTCATAACTTTTTCTCTCAAGAACTTGACACACTACATTGAGCTTTCCAAAGGCAGATAGGCTATATTGCATGAAATATGAGAGTGGCTACAGTTCAAGCGATATTTAGCAGGGGTGCAAGTGAGTCCAGCTTCCACTGTGAGAGCTTGACATTTTCCCTCGTGGTGTCTAACTCCTACCCAATAAAGATTCAACAGTTTATGCATACAAAAGTAAGACAAAAATGTACTAAAAATATTTTTTACAACCACTGATCTATTTTTTTTTTTCTCTCTCAGCAGCAAAAGAGACAATGGGGAGCTAAACTGCTATAGGGCAAGTGTCCCCCATTGGCCTGGTGCCACTGTTATCTGCACTTGGGCTGACAGGTGGAGCATGCTAGGGAGTTTCCTTCCCACGGAAACTAGTGCATTTGGGAAAGGGAAGACATATTGATACATACCTGGATTTTAACCTGCAGTGGAGTCAAGGTACAACCAAAACTTCCACTGTATAGTCTTAGTTTCCTCTTCATTTAAGGTTTAAATTCAATCTTTAAAATAATAATAATAATAATAATAATAATAATAATAATAATAATAATAATAATAATAATAAATCAGTCTCACCTCATGTCCCTACTTCTATTAGCAAATCCCAATGGAGAGAGGAAAAAAGAAAGAAAAATAAAGAGAGAAAAAGATTTGCAGAAAGTGACTTCTCCCTATTATTTTATACTACCCTTATTTAATCAAACTCCATGCAATTATACATATATAGGCACATAAATATTTTATACTTATTTATATGTAAATGAAAACATTATTCTGTGGTTCACCATTATCCTGACTGATAGGATAAGAAGCACAGACTGGGGAAAGACAATATTCCTAGCTAAATGTAATAGGCCAAGGTTTCTGAAATATTCCATTTTCTGCCCCAGTCCTTCCTGTTCTCTTTATTCCCACAAAAAAGCTACTGCAAGAAAGATGGACTTAAATCAATGCTATCAGCTGCCTGACCTGTGGAGAATACAGTTGTATGAACAGGTGGGAGTTTCTTGGTTTAATCAGGCTTTAAAAGAAAGGTCTGCACTTTAGAAATCCTTCATGCATTATCTGGCTTTAATTAGGAGCTTTAATATCAATTAGCTTAAGGGCTAAATGAAAAGGCTGTTACTAAGAAGATATTAGTGATTTTACAAATCAGAATTCCTACCCCAAAAATTTAAATAGGAATTATTAAGAACTACAGAAAATTTAATCATGGGCAACTTGGTTTTGTTCCGACTCATACAAATATCAGCATGGAACAGGAGTTACCACGAGCTGAGCATCAGATCACATAAAAGCTTTACATAGCATAAGATAAGCAATAGATGGGGAGTGGTAGGCTTCCAGAGCAATCTCTCTGGCATTTTCTGCAAATGTTTCATATCCAGGAGAGCCTAGAGTGGCATCATTTACTTTAAAGACACAATTTTGTTATCTATCTAGTTTCCAGTGACTTTCAAGCCTTCTCCAGCAGACCAGTTCTCAAAGAGGGATGTTCCTTCTGACTACTGATTCTGACCAAACCATGTTTCTAAAATGTAACTGGCAACTGACTTTATCTTTTGAACTTGCATAATGAATTATTGGTGGTTAGGTGAGACTGCATGCACAGGTGAGTGGAGACAAAAATGCAGGGCAAATGATTATTATTTTTTTTAATGAGTGTTATTTTCCTGAAAAATAAGAGGAATAGAAGTAGTCTAATAGAAGAATTGCACAGACTAAAAAGAACTTTCTTAAAATACACATGATCTGTCATTGTAGGTGTTCTGTTTCTTTTCATCGGAACATAAAACCTGACATTATATTCCCTATTTATGACCTCTGCTACCAGAGAAGTGCCAGATAGATAAAGCATGAGTGCACGACAATTATTAGGTTTTTTTTGATTACATAGAACTGTTTGTTCATTGTTGGAAGAAAGTAATGGAATATATATATATATATATATATATATATATTATTTTTTATAATTGTCATAGGAGAATGGATGTTCCTTCCAATGTTTTTTGATTTTCAAATTCGAATTCCTCCTCCAATGGGTATACAAACTACTTTACAGTGCATTTGTAGCCTCAGGTACACAGCGCATTTTCTTTTAAATTTTATCTTTCACACAGCCTTTAAAAGCACTATCACCATTTCAGATTACTACTTCCATGTATTGCATTTATATTCTAAGTAATACTTCTGTTAGAACTAGAGAGAAAAGAGATGACTACTGCCAAATTGAGATATTTTGACTTCAATACTGGGAGTTTAGGTCTAGAAAAAAAGAACTGGGCACATATAGCCTGAATAGGTTAATAGACAGTTGTCTGATGTGAACTATTGATCCTAGCAAATAGTTTTCTGTTTTAAACAAGTTCTTTGTAAGTGAAAGAGTCTGAATGGGAAGCAGGCTCAGTAAGCGTCTGTCGGTAGGAAGCACACTGTTGTCCAGCTTCCTTTCAAGTGTCCTGATCATCCAGTCAAGTACAGATAATGCCATTTGACTCGGGTCCATGGATGACAAACAGCAGCTCATCAGTGATTCAATACAAGTCAATTGTTCATATATATTCTGTAAGCACATTGCTATTGATCATCCTCAATTTCAAAAAAGAAACAAATCATTTACATCTTATGGGGCAATATTAATTATTCTGTATGAGTCATTCATCAGGCTCAGACTCCCAAAGGACCTCAGCTTGGCAGGACACCAATATACGAACCATCTGGCCTACCACTGTACATCCTGAAGCTGGTTTCTGTAAATGACTGTGTTTGAAGAACTCGAAGGACCTTGTTTGATAGTGCAATGCATCATCTAATCTTCTTGTACATCAATTAGTGCATAATTATTTAGCATAATTTGACTATCACTTCTCATTTGCCTATTCAATAGTGGGAAAAAAAGGAGTTGGACATAAGTTTAAAAAAGAAAACTGATCCACCTTTTCTAATGCTGTTGCATGCAGCACTCCAAATGGATTGCTGTTAAATCACCAGCATTCCTCCACTGTGGTGTCTAAAATCTTGCATTTTGACTTAAGGGAAATGAAAAGCAGCTGAAACAGCTGTCCAAAAGACAACTGTGGTATCTGCACACATTTAAACCATGATTTCTAGGAGTAGGAAGAATAGATGTCTTTAAAAATTAAGAACACAAGGGGCTACAGGAATTTAACTGAAATCTGTGATTTGTGAAGCAAAGCTACAAAGTGCCAGTACAGAATACATTAGCATGAGAAATTGCTTGAGTCCATTTTGCATTACAGTCCTCCCACACAGGTAATATGCTTGCAAGTGTCTGTTTCCCCATCTACACCTGTGTGTGTCTGCAGCCCTTGCTCAGGAAATTATTAATTCCAGAAGGAGTAAGAATGGGGCCAAATAACCTAATTAGCTTAAAATGAAGCCTGATATTTTAAAATAAATCACACTTGTCTTTGATAGAAAGGGACTGCACTGTGAAAGGCTTTAACTTCATGGTAAGTTACTACAGACCCAATCACAAAGTAGATAGCTACACTAGGATAACAAAGACTGATATTATTATCTCAGGGTATTATTTTTAATAGTCTTATTATTAGAGCACATTATGATCTGACTTCCAGCCTTAACTTCTAGGCCCTGTATTTTTCTGTGAAAAAGATAAAGCTCCAAAAAAGTTCTTACAAGTGCTAATTCTTAAAACATCATTTTATCAATATGAAAGTTGCCATGTCAAATATTTCCAGTGTTTTTCCACATCAAAATATCTTAAGAAGGCAGCTGGTGGCTGGGTATCAGGTATATCTATCTTCAGAAGTGCTGGCCAGACATTAGGTAGAAGAGAAAGACAGATGAAAGCAGAAACCCAGGTTTTGGAACCTCACTGGTGTCTCCTCTACTTAAGACAGCACTCCCAAACATCACTTCAGGGGCTATTATTCCCCTTGGCATCTGGTGTGTATTTTCTAAAGATATGTTGGATGAACACCAATTCAGTTACTGTTGTAAGCAATTGCACTGCTACCTTAATGAGCAAAGGAAAATGGGTTTCCTGCAATAAAGTGTGAGTGTGTGCATTAATATTTCTTCAAAACCAGTCATTTTGTTTCTGGCTTCCAAAAAGCAGCTTCAAAGTAGTAACATACTATGAACAAACGGGTAATCAGTAGAGGCAGAGGAAAAGCACAGGAACAGTGCCACATATTACTGTCTGTTAAAAATGCCCTTTTCTAATAAAAGTGATTAAAAATAAAGATAGCTGGGACATGTGAATAATGGCGGTTTTCCCAAAGTATTAACTCTGGTTAGTCAGTAAAAATCAATGTTTTAGGGAATATACAACCATGCTCAGTTAAACTTCCCAGAGTCAGCCGGTGATAGTGCACAGCAGCACCTGAACAGACACACTCTCTTCTTCCCTCTCATAACCAGCCTTCATCAAAGGTTTATGCAGCCCAGACACAACTATTTCTGAGCCAGACTCTGAGGAAGAACTGTCACATCTCTGCTAGTGCAGGTGGCCTGGCACAACATCCACTTGTCACTATTGTAGGTGTAGGGGTTTGGCAGCACAGGGTGCAGTCCGAATCATCCATCCCTTCAATGCAGATGTTACTGTACTCGTGATGCCCAAGTGGTCACCTAAAGAAAGTGGTTGGGAACACGCCCAGTAAAACTACTCAAGTTAAGCTGCAATTTGTTACTTAAAAGTAACAATTGAAGGATGCTATTTTACAGATACTACCACCTACAGGAGTATGCTGCTATGTCATCTTAAAAAAAAAATAAAAAATCCCAAGACACTAAAGAAACACTAACAGCAAAACTACCTCCCAATTTCTGTAAAATGGGTTTCTAGGAAGTTCACGACATCACATTTCCTTAGATCTCAGAGGGAACAGTCATGCAAAGCAGGTATTCTTTCAGAACTTGCCACTGCACACTGAAGAAATGAGTTATACCTAAAAGAGTGATTTAATAGATTGTGTTTCACTGTCTCAGTTAAAAGAAAAGCAAATCACAAACAAGAATTGAAAAGAAAATGGGGAGACAGCTCAGCTACTGAAAAATCCAGTGACCTCAAACACTCTTAAGTTTTGATCATAAAAAGTATCACAGCTATTTTTCATGTAAATTCTCCAGTTATCTCAAACTAGTTGCTAGGTCATGCTAACCAGTAAAATATCTTTGTTTTTAAAAACGGTTAGTACTTTTATAACAATGGGAAGATCTCATTGCTATGATCCTTTACCTTGTTTTATTTCTGCGGGTTTTATTCTTTCCCATGCAGCTGATTTCTCCCCACAGGATTTTGACCTTTATTACTTGCTGACAACATGTCTGACAAATAGCTTTTTGCTGTGGTAGCTGAGCTTGAGCCATCTGTTTTTTCTCTAGAGAGCCATGCCTTATTCATAATGGCATTTTTCTGTTTCACTCCCTGGGGAATAGCACCTGCATGCTGATTTCCTATATGACCCCAGAATGCATCATCACATTTCAACAACCGACCCCTCCCCTTCGTGGCCCAGAAAGCACTATGCTCTGGAGGTGCCTGTGCATCCTTCACCCTTGACAGCAGAGGCCAGGGAGTTTCCTTGTGGATCATGGGTAGGTTGCAGTCAGCCTTTGGATTTGAGTTGAAGACAACTGAAGGCATCTGAGCAGGAAAAAAGAAAAGAAAACATAACTTCGGATGTCCCAGTGTGTTGCTGTATGTTATATGGAAAGAGGCCACTCTGTGCCTTGTGGCTGATTTCAGCTGTAGCTTCCCATATAATTGTACAGTAGGCCTGTGTCATGCTCTCACTGGGATTTAATTTAAGCTCATGTGGTGTACATAAAAAAATAATCCCTGAGTTTACAAAGATCAGGACAATCAAAGAGTTACTTGCATTCTGCTCTCCATAATAATTTTCTTTTATGACAGTATTTTCATTGATCCTTTTTATATGTGACTGTGATAGAGAAAATAACCAGGAAACTGGATCTGAACTGTCACATATATCCCCTGGACTAAATAACATGTTGTCAGAATTCTGAGTCACTATTTCTCTGTATAATAAATTTCTTAACTAAAAGAAGACTTCAATATCTTGCATGATTTTTTCAACTATTAATGTCAAAATAAAAAACTATGCTTTTACTTGTTTTATTACATTTATTTGTAGATTAGAGTAATATTGGTAACTACTGTAGTTAACTGGCTCAAGTAATTGCATACTTGAATTTTGTTTCCACACAATTCTGGAGATGTTATGTTGTCTCAGAGAGGGTGACATCTCCTGCGTCTTTAGTTTAGCAGCAGACTGTCACAAATGCAATTGCAATTGATCAGTTCTGTTCTTAACAGGATTCCTGCAGTTAATGGAAATTACTATAACGAGCTTCAGGGCATAGGAATAATTGGATCACTAAAAAAAAAAAAAAAAAGAATTGGAGGAAAAAAAGGTAGGACAAGATCAACATAACAACTTTTTTTTTTTTAAACATCCAAAAATTTTCAAAGATGATCTTACCAGAGAGTACACCATGATGAAAACAAAATCTTTTAATTATTTTTACAAGCTCCAAGCCATTCCTAAACAATGGGGAAGAAAATGCATAATGAAAAACATTAAGCATTTATCATCCTCAGCTTGGTTAAACTAACAATCAGCTGTGCATCTCTGGAAGCAATCATTCAAATATCTATAGTATCTATAAAATGACTTCCAAGAATAATAGATATGACTAAACTAAAAACTATGAGAAAATTTTTACTGACCTGGCAATTTTTGCAATAGTTTTGTCTTAGTTCTGAATGCAAGGATATGATCTTCTCTGGGCTTGTTAATTTTATAGGAGAGCCAGCATACACCTCTGGAGTGATGGCAGGACTGTGGATGCTATCCACCTCTTCCTGAGAGTTTGCAGGTATTGACCCAGTCATCCCATTCACTTTGACATATGTCTCATGATCCTCTGGTTGTCCAGTGGCCTGTGAAATGTCTGTGGAAGAAGGCAGCATCTGCAAGAGAAAATCTAACTTTAAGAAATGCAAGCTAGATGAAGTCCTCCAACAGTTTATTTTGGATTAGTGGAAGCCACTTGGATGAATTCATTACAATAAATGTTCACAGAAATTAAATGTAAATAAGCTACATCTACCAAAATAGGAAAAATATAATATACCAATTATTTTAAATGTGAAGCATTCCTGCATCTGTCTAAAAAGGAATCCTGTATTCATCAACTCTTAGAATCACAGAATCATTCAGGTTGGAAAAGACCCTTGGGATCATCAAGTCCAACCATCAGCCCTACTCTACACAGTTCTCCCCTACGCCATTTCCCCCAGCATCTCATCTAAACAACCCTTAACTTAAACACATCCAGGGATAGTGACTCCACCACCTCCCTGGGCAGCCTATTCCACTGCCTGACCACTCTCTGTGAAAAATTTTTTCCTAATGTCCAGTCTGAACCTCCCCCGTTGGACTTTAAAGCCATTTCCTCTTGTTCTGTCACTAATTCCCTGTGAGAAGAGACCAGCACCAACCTCTCTACAATGTCCTTCCAGGTAGCTGTAGAGAGTGATAAGATCTCCCCTCAGCCTTCTCTTCCTCAAACTGAGCAGACCCAGCTCTGATTACGAGTTATTACCTCATTGTCATTAGTCCTCTTGCAAAAGCTCCAGAAAGGCAAATGCTATAAATATGCCAGGTCAGGAATGGTTACTGAGTATAAAACACATTTTACTTAAAGAAATATATAAGGTTTGCTCTCTACATCTTTAATGAGCATTATCTACCTCACCTGCATGTAGATAGATATCCTAGCATCAGAGGCACAGATCAGTTGGAAAGTGAAAGCTATACATTTGGACATTTCCCTATAAAATCAGAAGCTAAAGGTGGTGTCAGAAGTCCTTGGTTTCTAACCAAGGTTATGAGTGAAGTATCTCTCCCCAGCACTCATGAAAAATGCTGCCTGGCTGAAAGTGATGGAGGGTTACAAAGGGCAGCCCTGAAATGTTTTGAGGCATGAAGAGATTGGATTTAAAATTATTTGATGAGAATTTCTTCACTACAGGAAGCACAGTTAGAGATATCTCTGGTGATAGATGAGAGTCAGCAGGAGCAGAATAAGCTCTGGAGCTCAGTGACCCATGCAAAGGCAAATCACCATCCTCGTAGTCAGGAGAGCTGGTAATGCTATCAGAAAAAAAATACAGCACCAAATCAAAGCTGTGACACTGGCACATTTAATTTCTAGAAAAAATAACCTCCTCGTAAGGTCTTTCCTTTCCTTCAACTGTTCAACCCAGACACTCTTTTGCCTCTTGGGATCACCAAATCCTGGTGCAGCCGAAGTACTGAAACGCAGTAGAAAGGTGTTTTAATGCAAACCCTAATGAGTGAAGCTCTTACTACACTGATGAAGTTTTCACAGTATGATCTGCACTATATTTGAAAGTTGGTATGATTCTCTCAAAAAGACTCATCTTCAGTGTTTCATAAGATTCTGTGAAACACTGAAACAGTAAAGATCATATTTTCTATAGCACTATGGATGTAGCTAAGCAAAAATCCTGCATTTTATCTCAATATCCAGACATTAATTTTTTTTTTTTTTTTCCCACACAATATTGATTCTGTATTCCTTTTATATTTTTTGCTTTCCTCTCAAGTTTCCACAAATTACCCCACCTAGGAAGAAATTAAAATATTGTGATATTCCACCAAACTTGAATAAGTGTAAACTTGCATAATGACAAGTTCTAGAAAGGATTGACATTAAAGCAAAACCCATCATCTTTCCCCAACATTACAAAAATAAAAAGACAGTGGTGTCAGAGAGAAGAATAAATCATTTTAATTCGTCTAATTAAAATTAAATCATTTAATTCTAAAAAAAAGGAAGTTTAGTTTCTAAAGGTTTCTTATTTTAATCATGACTGTTACTCTACTTGCATTTACTGTTTTAGTCAAATGCACACTCCTGCCCATGAATTAGAGCAAAAACCACTGCTGAAATATCTATATTATGTATGCAGCCAGGAAACAGATCTCAATGTTTGTCAGCGAAACCCAATTTTACTTTAAAATGACATTAACCTTGAGTACCATCTCCTCGGCCATCACAAATTATTGAGGCACTATACAAACATCCATTTACATAATTAACACCTTTATCAGTTATTTCACTGGAAAGGCCAGGATGCCCTTAATTGTTTTAAATCTGTATTTTATACCCTTCAGTATTTTTATTAACCTTTCTGAAGGTCAAAAATAACATATCTCTCATTAATGGATTTTACTCTTTTAAAAAATTGCTAAATAATAATCACCATCTCTTCACCCCTTTGGAATTCCAGGTACTCAAGTCACATTTTCTGTAATGTCAGGAAAAGATGCCTCTTCCTGCAAAACACTTTGTCTTGAAAGGTCCCTTGGTTTTGATCAGCATTGTCCCCAAAAGACTGAAAGTCCAAATTTAAACTGATTCTCCCTTCTGAGGGTGAGACTCATCTGACCAAAACATATCTCCTCCTGGCCCCTTTCACTAAAAATTGAGCCCAACTTCTATAACTCTTCTCACTTTATCTAAAGCAGATACATAAAATGGGCAGGATACCTCCTTGTAAGTACCTCTTTCTCTCCACTAACTATGAAAAGAAATAGATAAACTACTATAGATGTGATTGTCTGAAATACTGACATCAAACATGAAATGTATCTCACCCTCAGTGCCAGAAAAGCTTCTGATCTCACCAGCCATGCACAAATCATTTTAAGGAGAGCATCAGAAACTGTTATTTCAAGTCTGTTTCCTTCAAATATGATTCACAGGAAAGCAGTAAGTGGTTTCTTGCAAAGAAATGAGTAGAAGTAGTGGAGAAAAAAAAAAAAAAAAAAAAAAAAAAAATGAGGATTAAGCTACACTGTTGTGCACATTTATTCCCTATTCTGTAAAACAATTCACTAAACTGGGCACATTCTTTGCCTGGAGCTTTCCATCCATATGGTTTAAGATGACTCCATGAAAAGCATCAAAAGCACTACCATTTATCCCTATATCCCTTGCACAAGTTCCCTCTCAGCTCTGAGAAATGAGGGCAAATAGCCACAGAGGTTTCAGATCCACTATGGAAAGAATAGATAAAAAATATCATCAAGACAAAGCCTCCAGTGCAAGAGAAATGGAAGTGAATGAGTACAGCAGCACTGTCCATTACAGCCATCAGTTCTGGACAGAGGCTGTTGCCTCAGTCATTTGAGGGAAAGAACCGAACATACTCCTGTTTCTCCACACACACCCTAAAAGAGAGAGAAGAGGCCGCAAATTACAGCACAGGTGCTCTGTCTGGAATGAGCCCATCTGAAAGGCAAGCCAAGCTCACTTGCTCCTCTGTGTGGTTCTCTAATATATCAAAAGCAGCATGGGCACAGCCTCATGTTCAAGCTCGTCAAACTGGGTAAAGATGTTTCTTAAACTGCAAGTAGGCACCTAAAAACCAGAAAAAAAAAATGGAGCCGCCTCTTTCACATTTCCTATTAGTTATCTGAAGCATCTTCTCTTGCTTTGCACTGTTACCAACCCAAGTAAAGCAGCTTTTGCAAAGCCCAGTCCTTTTGTCAGATGTTTAGTGAGCATGAATATCTAACATCAGTTGATGAATGGTGTGGTTGTGTACTTCCCACTGGGAAAGGCAGAAAAACAACTGTTAATAATGTCCATTAATTAATTCTACAGCAGCAAGAAAAGAAAGATGAGGCTAAGGCCTCTACAATTAAAGAAAATCAGCATTAAAAGATTATTAAAATGGGACACAACAAAAGGCCAAAAATGGCCAGATATTCTGTCTCTGATATTGGGCATGTAAATCCCAGCTATGGCACTGTGCCGAGTGCCATGCACGCCCGTTGGAGGTGGCCCTTGTCCCTGGAATGTATCCTCTTTAGAGACATACTTTTCATTTTCCAAACACAAAATAAGACAGGTTTTAATTATTTCAGTTGCCCAAATTTATTATCACTCCATTACAAGGGGCTCCAGTGGTTTATCCCTTCAAGTCTTTTAAAAGGATAATATACCACAAAGGTTTAGAAATTAACTTCTTCATGCCTCAAAAAATTTCAAGCCCATGTTAGACATACATTGTCATTCCTACGGCTCCCCAAAAGACTGTTTTTTTCAAAATGGAAAGGCAGTTTTTCTTCATCATTCTGCATACAATTTTTGCTTTCAGTACAGCCACAGAGCTGTTTTCTCTGGTTGAAAAAGAATAAACTCCACTCTGTGCAGTCGTATGTTTATTATCATAAAACAAACTAAAATTAAATTAAATTCCACTAAATTACTCAAACTAAATTACATATAAAGAGCTTCATGGTGTACAGTTTTATGGTGAGGAAAAGTAATTCAAAATCTAGTGCTCTTTACAGGGACTTGAAAAGAATATTAAGTGAAGGAAAATTGACTTTCTTTTCTGAACATATTGCTCTAGTGTATATCAAGCCTCGGTGAAATGTACATTGCTGGAACAAAATCATGTGATACTACATGATTCAAGCAAATTTTATTTCTCACTCAAAAACCTTTGAATGTAACACTGGGCTGTTAAAATAATCAAGAATGACAAAACACAAATGCACGCTGCTCTGCTAAACTGAACTGATTTGAAGTCTTGAGTTAGTGCAAATCAGCAAAAGAAAGCAACTGTGACAACAGTGATTTATCGTGTCTGAGAACAGTCTTGAACACTGAAAGTCTGAAGAGAAGCTCCAAAGATGATTGGTTTTACATCACACTGCCTTTGTGGTTTAGTATTTTAATTGGGATGAGTGTTAGGAAGAAAATACTTCTGGCAAACAGAAGAGAATGACCAATCATCCATTGCACCCTGAATGAGCAAAGAACTGAAGTTCTTTTTTTTTTATAAGCATGAGTTGATGCCCGTAAGCCCTCCACTGAAGCTGGAGCTTCCTAGCACACAGCTAAGGCAGATCTAGCCAATCCACATGCAATTCTATGTAGAGATGAAAAAAATATGTTCTTAAAAGAATTTTAAAATATATTTTCTTCTGAGAACCAGACACAAATATTTTTACTGAACTACAAAAGACCAGGCACTGAACTGAATAAAGAGTTCCTTTTTCTTCAAAGGGCTCTGGATCAGCCCTTCATGCATCACTGCAAACTTTCAGCTGAAATTTATCAGTAAGCCAAAGCAGGCAGGTCTGCTGCCAGTGTGTGACAGGTTTCCATTTGTCACTGGGTCCAGAAATGAATAAAGCTAATTGCAAATCTTTAATTTAAGAAGGAAAAAACAACAATAACAACAAAAGCATCAATCCACCAGATTTTCTCTAGAAGTGTTCAAATGTTAAGAATGATTTAGAAGTGAAAATCTGAGGGGAAGGAAGGGAATGAGCTTTCAAGGTAGTTTTATTTGAGTAAAAGCTGGGAATACGCCTTGAATCTTAGATGTGAATTACAGTGAGAATAAGAGTTGAAATGCAAAAAATGAACCCTCAAAGATGAAAAGTCAGCTCAGTTTAACATATGTCTACAGAATTCAGTACAGCATTTAAAAAGAAAGAAATGTATCACATGAATATGAAATGGTCTTTTATTGTAACTATTATTTATTAAATTAGAAGCAGTGTCACTTGGACATTTCCTCACTGAAATGTTTTCTTGAAAAATTGATCCATAGAAACCTAAATTTTTCATAAGAACATACATAACAGATCTGTCTTGGCAGGAAAGGTTTCCCCTGTTACGCATGGAATTACTTATCACAGACTAGAATGGTCCAAAGCTCAGTGTCAAGGAGCCCAGCAAGAGCTATCCTGTTCTCTGCATGATCAAAAACACCAGGCTTGAATCCCAGTGTGCCTGAACCTAAGTGAGACCTCAGGGCACTATGGTGCTGGATACTATGGGAAGGGGTTTGTGCTCCACTTGGTATGAATAGCTAAATATCTGTTGAAGCAGTGGATTGCATGTGGGGCTCCTACATTGCAAAATTTGGGCATCAAAATATAGATTCAATCTAATTCTCTCCTGCTGGAGCTGCTACGTTTTGTGATAATTAGACAATGAGGGAGACACTGTGAGTGTGCAGAGTATTTTGATATTTATCGTACTGGGAAGCTTTACACTAATGCTCATTTATCACAGCAATGTCTGAGAAAATGTCTGAGGGTAGTGAAGTATTATCTCCCTTCTGACAGATGAGTTACTAACTACTGTCACATAAAACATTAATTCTCAGTGTGAGCTTGGGTGAGGCAGTGGTGGACTCAGACTTGACATACTCAAAGGAGACATAGCCAGACAGAGAATCCTGACCTGTCCTGCAACCAGGAATCAATCTACCTTTTCCTTAACATTCAGTTAAATTACTGCTTGCCACAGAAACAAGTATGACTGAGTGATAGCTTGCAACCCTTAATAACACAGGAAGAATAAGCTTCAGAGTGATAGAGAATACCACTTTGTGTGTAAAAATGCAAAATAATCAGAAAAATAATGCTGGAAATTTCCTATATGACCATTCTAGGCATCTTTACTTCTCTCCATGAAAAACAGATGTCAGTGTCACCAAAAAAAGTAATTTTTATGTACTCATTTTGCAGTGCATTGTGTTAGCCAAAGTACAAAACATAGCATGAAACTAGGTTCTGTGTCCTGCTGTGGTAGGCAGCCACTTTCACAATGTGTTACAAATGTGTAACACAAAATATTTTTTTGCTCATTTTAGCCAGCAGGATTCTACTTGAGTATAGTTGCCACAAACATCACTAAATATTGTTTGGGGTTTTTTTATAGGCTTTGTTTAAAATAATAGGAGAGAGAAAATCAAAGGGGAAAAAAGAGCTCGTTTGAAGGTTACTGAAGTACTGCAAGGGAATATCTGTTTCTCCAGGTTGCCAGATTCAGATTTCTGTCCTTAAGAATGTCTTCAAGTAGATGCTACTCCAAAAATATGAAGTATACTCCTAGCATCCAAGCTACTAATGATAATGTTGAGCAGAACCAGGTGTGAAGCAGAATGTATCCCATGAGTACCACTTTCATCTTGCCAGCAAAACACAAGTAACTCCTTTTTGAATATGAATGTCCACTGAGTTGACTGAAATCTTAAAATGATTCACTGTAGCACTGTAGACGGTTTTTTTTTTTCTGATTTCTTCAAAAATCTGAGACAATGCATTGTGCATGAAGGAAATGCAAAATTCATATTTAAAGAGAAATTGAGTATTATGTGCTGCATTATCCAGTATGATACCGTGTCAAAAATATCAGGGAGGGGTTTTTTTGCAGGGAGCCCTGACATACTTTGTGATAAGCTCCAGAATATTCAAACCCTGACCAAAACAGCAGTAAAACAGTCAACTCCACTGACTTGTCTGAAGCAATATTTATATTGTGCTGAAATACATTTTATAACTACACATTTAATCTTACTGAACACTCTAAAAAAATAAAATCACTGACACTGTGATACATTCACAGTAGTGGAAATGGGAAGATCCTACAAGGAAGTACAAACACTTACCTCTTGATCACACATTGGTGTAAAAGTGACTGTGTACTCTGCCAGGGCCATATCATTCACCAAGTTTTTCACCTCTTCATCAAACGCAGAGTTAATAATTCCTCGCCTGTGAAATTCTCCATGCATCCTTGTAATGAAGCTGTTCCTTTCCTGGCACTTTCGCATGAGGCAAGCCAGTTTAGCCTATGTGGCATGAACACATATACATTGATTTCACTCCCTGTTGAGACTGCAAGATCATATTTTGTGTCTGATCTGTAATTTCACATGTTTTGACCCAAAGCTCTAGATTGCATTCTTACATTCTAGGCCATTAGGTGTCTGCACCTCGCAGCAACAATACATGCACAGATAAACTGGAAAGAGACATTCTCTTTCCATGTGCGTGGCCCCCCTTTTGACAGGCTGAAGAGTACCCATAGTAATAGTCCCTTGCCCAAAGTCCAGTAGCAAAAATCTAAGTCAGGGGCAGCTGCAGAATGCAGGCACATGCATGGAAGCCTGTAAGCAAAGGGATACACCTTTGTGTAGTTCCTGCATCAGCTTTCAGGGAAATACCTTCAGAGGAGCCAGTGTCAACTTCTCTTCAGACCTTCTCTTCTGAAGTTCTTTTCCCTGAAAGGTTGAAAAACATTCCACATCAATTTATTCGAGTCATTCTGAAATACTGTAGCAGTTTTTTGATATTTGTTTTAGACCTGACTTCCAAGGTGTACACTTCGCATGTCTGTATGTCTGTGAGCCTGTATCACGGATAGGCCTTGGCACACAAGCTCTACTCTGCTATCATTAACGTTGGTCTTATGTATTACTAAGGGCTTTTGGATGTTTTTAGATAGAGCCCTATATCAGTTGAGGTTATTTCATTAAAGCAGTATCACATTAAAGACTTGGTATTCTTCAGTATGCACTCATGTTCCCATTTACTCTGTGAATCTTCCATTTTTTAATCTATATTATATTGTAGAATGAGAGAAATGAGGAGGGATTTTGTGCATGTGTATTCCACAGCTCTGGAAAGTGAACATCAATAACTTTCTACTCTGACACAATCGATGCATGTCCTCTATTAGGTGGTGAGCCACGGTGAGCTAGATGACCTAGTCTGTACCTTATGATTAAAATGTTTATTATTCATGGGAAACCTGATTTCTGATGATTCAAAAAACCCACAAATAATATCCTGGCAGGCAAAATCCTTTTCTATTATGAATCAATACAGTATTATTTGTCAATAAAGTACAGATTCCTTTGCATTCATTTTGCTTGACAATTTACACTTCTATAAAGTCTACAGTAAATATATGCATCAGAAAAAGACTCCTTTTATGAGAATTCAGTTATGATTAAAGAGGTCACATGGTCCTCAACTAATAAATTGTGGTCTTGGGAAGAAACAGAGTAGATAGGATGGGAGAGACATGTCTTTACATTGCACCAGCACCACAGGAACAAATATAAAGCTGGCAGTAGGTCTCTGCACTGGTGACATTCAATTCTTGATGAGGCATGGAGCAAAACATTTTGGTAATGCAAGAGAACAAATAGGAGTTGCCCATTTATATGGATAGCACGTCTCACCCCTTTCTCACCTACCATCTGATATGCACCATCCATCACTACAGACCCCAGACACTACAAAACAATTTCATTTCACCACCACTATTCTGCTAAGAGGCATCCTAATCAATGCCTGAGAGAAGCCACTAACCCTCTGTACAGGACTGGTTTAAAGCAAATCCCAGCACTTGACAAGGCTAGGAAAAAAAAAAAAAACAACAACAAAACCAAAAGCAACAAACAAAAAAACCAAACCCAAAAGTGTAGGACAGGAGAATTTACCATAGAGGAAGTAGGATGAAACTTGCACCCAATAGGGAGAATAAAATCAGCTCTTGTATTTCAGAGGAAAGACAGAGGAGAAGTATGTTCACCCATTGTATCAGGGTATGAAGAATACTATTGAGAAAATGCCATTTACTAGTTGCTTCAGAGTATGATGGGTAATTCGAATTTAGCTCACATCTTAAGTATAATCCCTTTTTGAAAGATGGTTTCCAAAGAAATAGGAAACATAATCTAAGGGAAAATTAGTCCTAGCAGGAATTTGTTTCCACCTGAGTTCAGTAGTTGTAGTCACACTGACAGCAGTAGCTTTGCTGTCACACAGTAAGGTGGTAGCTTTGCAAATGTTAACATCTGTACCTGCTCTAGTTTGCCAGGTGAAATATAATGCACAAGTATAAAACTGCTCACGTAAGTACACTTGTGTATACATGGGGGTTCTCACCAGCTTAATTATGTCAGTTAATAAAAATACAAACCACACAGCTAACTGAAAATGCATTAAGGAAACTCTTAATGTGTAACCCCAGCAGCTGGATCAAAAAAAGTTAGAAAAAAAACTCTATCAAAATTCTATCACTAGTTCACTGTTTCATAATCTGATATAGTGCATGAGAGTTGGGAATGTTAAAAATCCTGACAATTTAAGCCAAGAAGATGGCTCTGTAAAAAATTTCAGCACTGCTTTGCTTGCATTACACTACTGGGATTATAGAAGAAACTGGTGACAATATATTATAGTCTATCATCTGTCCATAATGCTGAACACCCAGGCAGTTTACATCTTTTCCTTATTTCTCTGAAGTCAGGGGTACCTTTATATGCCTGGAAACCATTTAATTATCCTCAGACTCATTCCCAGGAAAGAATACTCTTTTGGTTCTGTTATCTGAAAAGAAAGAGGTAGAATCTGAAGTCTAAGTTCACATTTGTCCACCCACTTAAGCACACAGAAAGCAGCTTTATGATACCTTTTCACATAGCTGAGCCTGAAGGAGTTCCACTTCATTCTGCAAGTCATGAAACTGATTTTGCAATGCAGCCTGGTCCCTGAGCTGGGCTTTCAAGGTCAGCACTTGCTGCTGTAATCTCTTATTTGCTATTTTAGTCTCTGTTTCCTGGGCATCTTTCACAGTGGACACAGGCTAGATAGCAAATATACAGATTTTCAAATTAGATGTACAAAATAATGAAAATATTTTCAATCATATTTGAGAGCACAGAACTTCTCACTCAATATACGTACCTATCTTGTAAGAAAAAAAAAAATTAGCTGATATAAACCATATGACTTCAAACCTTCATAAACATATTAGCACTAATATCTTGCACTAATCTTAAAACTGTTTGTGAGCAAGGAGTTCTTGATCCCCTGTGAGAGCAGGTGTAGGATTGAGATTTGGGATTTCAAAATGCTCCTTCAGGGTAAGTATTGCATTATAATAATTCATATTTGGGGAAACTGGGGCACAGACAGCTTAAGTGACCAACCTATGGTCACACAGGAGTAAGAATAGAACTCAAAAGTCCCCAGTTTCCTTATCAACTGCTGTATAATATGCGCCTTATTTTTCTCCATATATTTATCTCAGAGAGAAAATTCTGTTCTCCCAGTTAGATTTTTGTTTTGGGAGATAATAAAACTAATCAGATTTTAACTATAAATTTCAAAAATATTTATAAAGAAAATATTTCTTACATTAAAATGTAGCACAGTGGTACAGAACAAGTGGAAGGAGAAGCTTCTGAATTTAACTCCTCCCCCACTCTCTGATTATTTTTTTTTTCGATTTCAGGCACTTAGCTTGAAAGGATTAGTGAGAGCTTTAGATTGATGGTCAGCATCATAAGGTCAGCTTCTAGAAGTGACACTGTCAGATTAAACATATGGATTAAGAATGAGGAAAAAAACTGAGGGCGAAGAAAGTCTTGTGAAAAACATTTATGCTATTGTGAACATACTAAAAAATATTAAGTTGATACACACAGCTGCTCAAAATTTCTGATAACATGCTATATAAACAAGTTTAACATTGTTTATATGCTATATAAACAAGTTTAAAAGATTAAACATTTCAGTGATTAAACCAAAAAACTCTAGTCAGACCTATGATATACTGCAGTAAAACCATATAACCTTCTGACAAAACACTCAGGAAGGTGCTTTGATTTTAATGGTTACCAAAATGGAGACAACCTATAGAAGAGCTAATATTCAGCTATGATACACAACAACACAGTTAAACTTTCCCCTGCTTTCTGACAGCCTTTCCAATTTTGATGCTCTTGGTGACTACAATATACTGAAGGCACTGTTTCATAGAAAACAGCAAACTGAAGTGATAAATCGCAGAACTCTGCCTGCAAAACATCATTGCAACACAGGTAAAACCAGAAATATTTCATACTGTTCTTCCTAATAGAGCAAGTCCTTTATGCAGATCATTCAAGCAAGTTGTGTCATGCTTTGTACCAAACATTCTGGCTCCCTCTTGCGTTAAGAGAAAGAACAATAGCAACTGTTGGACACCAAGACTGAGTAGACAAGGCTTGCAGTGACAAAAATCTGAGGATGAGTTTGAGACATAGTGTTTTCCTCATCTTCTTCTTTCCCCCACAAAAAGTATGTTAAATAAAAAAAATGGAAACAGTCCCTAATTGAAGATGCTTAGTGGAAGAAGAGGTGGGGAAATAAAAAAAAATGCTTGTAGGTTAAAGGCAAAGAGAAGTTCCCTCTTTCCTTTTGCATTTTGCTGACCTGACAGCAGTTTTCTGCACTTTCAGAGCAGAAGTGAGGCATGTAAGGTTTATTTATGATCCCTCTGTCAGATGTCCCAGTTAACATATAGATTATGTAGTCAAGCTCCAGAAGGGTGAAGGACCCATCAGCTGGGACTGGGAAATAACTAAAGAGAATTATTCAAATACAGTCACTACCTTTGTTAAACTATATCTACGCTATTTTCTATCTGTACTATTTGCTTAATTGTGCCAGTAAAATCAATATCCTTTGGTTAAGACACAATGAACTTGAGTCATGCACATTAGTTGTGTCATCAGTGTAAGTAAAGGATAAACCCAGTTTTGTGATGTACATGAAGTGCATCTTTGACACTGGAATGACACACATGTGTACTCAACAATTTGACAATAAGCCTACAGCAAGTAATTAAATCGGATGAAGAAGTTAGATACAAATCAAACAACATCACGATATTGCACAAATATATAGTATGGATTAATAAATGCTAACATGAAAAGTTAGTTATTGGAGGGATTTTACAGTGGGCTTTTTTTCAAAAGAAAGGCTGACCTGCACTTTTTTCAATGTAAAAATATTCTGTCAAGGTTGATGAGTTTTACTCCCATGTGTCATAGAAATATTTAACATCCTAATTCAGTGACCAATAAAATAAGCAATAATTGCCCCAGACTGTCCCCAAACAAAAGGTTTAAAGTTCCATTTGCCAGAAAATGCCCCCAAAAGCTTGTGTTAGCTTAAACAAAGCACCATGATACACTTCTATTTATTTTCAAAAAATTTGGGAGTTTCTTCTTATTATTTGAAATAGATTTCATTGTTTTAGGATGTTACATGCCAATACATCATAATGATACAATAAAAATGTCCTTTATTTCAATTAACAGTCAGAATTCAGTTGTCTAAACATCAGCACATAGTGTCACTGAGGGTGTACAAGCTAATATGAAATAACCACACAGGACTTGCAGGTGGCCAACTACACCCTCAGCCAGGATGTCCTAAGGCATTTAAATGGAATAGATAGTGACATTTAGGCAACTGAACTGAGCCAAGAATCTTTACAATTTCCAGAATTTGTTTTTATTTTCTTCCAAAGCCATATCCATCTAACCCGTTCAAACTGAATTTGCAAATATTGTAGGTGGCTACAAAATTGCTTTTCCAACTGATAAAAGTTGCCTATTTCTTCTTTGCAGTTTTCCTGTTAAGGAGCACAGAAATAATTTCAGGGCTAGCTGAAAAATCTTTATGAAAGCTACTTCCAGTAGATTATTCAATAATTACAAATCTTTCCATAAAACACTTCATTTTGGTGGAAAACATAAAAACTTTATCAAGACACACAACCACCTGAAAATTCAAAAAGCTTTCATTTACAGCAAAACCAGAATTTCTATGATATAAATACATTCCAATGCGACCTTCTCTCCCACATGTGATAGAACAATCTCCTGGATTTTGGGGATGCACATTTGGGCCTCATGTGTCCATTACAGTCCCCATTAATCCACACCACCTCCTTGCTGTCAGTGGAAGTTGCTCTACAAAGCACCCAGCATCACAGCTTCATTTTGCCTGTCCAAATCTAGTAATCGGGGCTAGAAGGCAGAAAGGCCAAATATTGGGAACACTGGAGACTCCTCCAACACCTTTCCTTAAGGCCACCTAAAATTCCATGCCTCAGAAAATGTCTCTGGCTAAAGAGAGGTCAAGGGTCCTCCTAAAAAAACTGAGTGTCTATAATGCCCATGCAGAGCCCAGACTTTGGACTGTCCTACAGACAGGTGGTCTACCTGTCATAATATCTGCTCACTTTCAAGTTTATAGCTCCAGTGGCTTCAGGTTCTCTATACTCCCTTCAAATCTATTGCCAATAACAACAGTGGGTTTCTGCATCCAAAACTCTCTCTCAAGGAATATGCTTTCCCCCATTCCACTTAAATACAGACCATTAATTTGCAGTGCTGCTTTCCAAGCATTTTGTCCCCAGCCTCTTGTTTAAGATGGTCTAGTTCTGAGAAAGCCTGTGTCAAACGAGTTTTGATTTCTTCATATCTTGTTTCAGCAAAGCCAAGCTCTCTGTACCACTTCTGAGCCTAACAGGAAGAATAAAAAAGTCAAACTACTGAGTATAATTGGTCTAGCAGTGATATAATTTCTCAATACAAGTTTACGATCATGGACTTGAGACTGATGTCTATATCACAAGATTTATATTGTTGCAAATTGATTAAAATAAATGGAATTATACAATAAACTACTATCTTCTTATAAGACATTAGTAAGACTCTTAAAGTAAATCCTACAGAAACATATCTAACTAGAGCTATGCAAAAAAAAAATAGATTCATTTTAAATTGATTTTTGAATTTGAAGGTACCTTGAATATTCTGAATAAAGCTAAAAAAGCAGTGGTGAATGCACTCACAGTTTCAGAGATTATGTCTTTGAAAGTCCTCAGAACAAATGGAAATTAAAATTTTATCAGCTAGGTGGAAAAAAGTGTTCCTGAGAAATGTCAAAAAACAAAAAATGAAAAGGAGGAGGGAAAAAAAAAAAATCCTTCCACATGTTCACCTTTATATTTTTTCTGAGCTGCATTTTCTCTACTTATACTGTAGTTTTGGGAAGAAAACACATTCATTTGCATTCAGAAAGGCACAACACTGAAAGCTTCCTCAGTTGGTATTAAAACTGCAAATTTACTTTACACAGGCACAGAACTAGCCATCCAAACAAGTCTCCATATAGGTGGTGTTGGACTTTGTGTTTACTACACAGATGTCAAGAGAAGGGGCAGTGTGCATGGTTTGCACCACCACTGAATATAACAAGATCCCTTGACGGTGTCAGATTTTACATCATATTGCCTCTCATTCAAAACCTACTTTGAATTTAAGTTTGCCACAATCCTCAGTGCTTCTACAGCCTTCTACTCCTCCTTATTCCTAGTGAGGAGGAGGAAAGCAGCATGGCCAGAGATGGCCACAGCAGATAGTTTGTTCTGTGTTAAGCTTAATAAAGCACTCAGCTTCTATCAAACTGTGCTGGAGGAATGTAGCATCACTTGAAGTTCTGGCCAATCATGAATGACTGTGAATTCATCACTTAAAGATTTAAGAGGTACATTTTGGTTCTGCAGATCAGAGACTTCCCTGTTTAATAAAAGAGTTAAATCCTGGCAGAAAGAACAGCCATGTAACAAAACAAAAAATAAAAAAAAATTTCCTCCTCAGAATTACATCAGAATAGGAGGTTACCTCTTTTTTCGATTTTTCTAATTCCTTTTGCTGTATTTTGACTTCCTCTTTCGCCTTTTTGACTTGTTCTTTCATCACACTGTAGCTTTCAAACATGCTGCCCTGGATATACAACAAAAAGATGTGACTCCTCTCACCCATATAAAACAGCACACAGGTTTTTACAGAATAATACATGGTTTCCTTCCAAATTACTAAAAACATTTGCATAAAATCAAGATATTAGTGGTAAATCTTTCCCTGTTATTTATTCTCAACTGAAGTAATAATTCTGCTTTTACAAGAACATAGTAATCTCCATAGAAATTCACTGTGGTATAAGATTCATGACTACAAAGGAAAACCATGGAGAAGAAATCCACTATACGTAAAGATCCTGTCTTTAAGCATGTGTTTAATAAAAATCAAAACAGTAAAAAAAATAGACCCTATCAGAATAAAAGTTAGTAAGTGAACACGTGCATAATTTCCAATAAGACATGATTGTTTCACAACCCTGAACCATTATAACAGAAGTTTGTGAAAATTAATTTGCTCTACCAGAAGCTTTTAATCTTGCAATAAGATAAATAATTTTTAAAATGCCTGTACAATGCAGTCTTTTAAGTATTATTTTTAACTTTGTAGCTTGCTATATCAGTTTAAAATTCTCTAATACAACATTAAGAAAAAAAATTCTCTGGTATTTTGCCTTTTATTGCAATGTTAGCACTTCAGACCTCCAGCACATGGGAGGTTAAAACATTTTCTATATTACAAAGTTAATTTAGCCTTGTCCTCCAAATGACATTTATATGTCTCCCTTTCTTTAGAAGATCCTGCTTGGTAACATTCCTCACTGTTATTATTTACCTCTTTTCCAGGGTAATAGTTTGAGGGGTCTATAACTGGAAATTCTTCTTCAGTCTGAGTTACGCGACATGTTGTTTCAACTTTATTTGACTTAAGACCACATTGTTGACTTTCTTCTTTTAGTTCTACTATCTTTTCCTTTGTTCCTAAACTTTTATCTTTTCTCAGCTCTTCATAGGTGAAACCCAAAGATGACATTAATTCTTTCAATTTGTTATTTTCTAAAATAAAGTGTGCATTTGCTTTCCGAAATTCATCAAGCTGTTCTGAAGTTTCCTTCTCAATTCTGTCTACTTCTCTTTTTAGTACACATTTTTCCTCCTGTAAATCAGAAATAGTCTTATAACAGCTGGTTTTGCACGCTTGAAGGTCTGAAACCAAGGTCCTGTAATTGTCTTGTTCACACTTTACTTCTGCCAAACATCCCAATAAAATTTCTTTTTCACTTTCTAAAAGAGATATTCTTTGTAAATTTGCCTCTCTCTCTTGTATTAATTCATTACATTTTGTTAAATAGTTCTCTTTGTCTTGTAATAATTCAGCTACTTTTTTAAAGCATCTGCTTCTTTCTTCTTTCAGGTCAGAAAGCAGCTGAAAATACCTCATTTTCCTTCCAATCAGGGATAAAACACTCCTGGGAAGATTATTTGATGCAATTGTCAATGAGTCTTTTTTAGGATTCTTATTTTTCTCTTTAACACATAAAAGGTTCTTAGAGAAGGTTTCAACAAAAAATGTTTCTGGGCTCATCATGTTTTCTTCTGGTAAGTTATTATAACATCCAGCAGCAACTTCTTTCTCATTAAATAAGTTTTGAAATGAAACAGTATTAGCTTCATCTGCCGCTAAAATGTATTGAAAATATGCATCCATCTCCTCTTCCAGTGCACACATCTGAGCACATCTCTCATTCTCCTGTTGTAATATACAGACTTTCTTTGAGTAATTTTCATTCTCTTGCATGAGTAGAAATATCCTCTGAGAACACACAGCCACCACTTTTTCTAGTACATATATTTTCATATTATGTTCATTACCAGCTTCCAGTGGTGACAGATGACAGAAACACTCATAAAAATTGCTCTGTGGCAGGAACAGTTTGCTTAAGCACGCAGTCCTCTCCTGCACAGAAGACAGTATGTTTAGCAGATACCTCTCTTCCTCTGACCAAAAAAATTTCTGAGAGTATACATATTGCATGTTTTCAACAGCTATTTTTTGACATGAGAAATTCTCATTTGTTTCACATAGTTTCAGGGTCTGGTCTTTCTTAACTTTCAGGCCAATATTTCTGGAAGGATTTGTTTGATGAGTTTGTTTCTGAGGTTGTTCTCCTTTCTCCTCCATTTTGATTATGTCTTCTCCATTATACACCCTATTCACATCAGGGATGCAGATTTCTGAGAGGCTTCTTTGTTTCTCCATTAGTTCAGGGGTCCCTTCAAAATGTTTCTTTAAGTCTTTAAAATCAACAGATAAATTTTGGACATCCTGAGGGCCACCTAGGCTGTCTTTGGCTTCCATTCCTTGCTTCCCAGGACTAATCAGTTCAGTTTTAAATAAAACTTTAGAACTTCCCTCAGCAACACAGGTCACCTGTTGTGGTTGGACTTTCTCGATTTCTTCTCCTTTAGCTCTCCCTCTGATGACTTTTTTGTGATATATTCCATCATCAATACCTCTATCCAGACATTTATTTTCACTTATGATTTGTGGCAGAATATTATTTTCACAATGTTTTTCCATGTTGTATTTTTCTAGATATGATGTGAAAATTTCAGTTACAGTGCAAGGTATCTTTCCATTAAGAAGTGCAGAAGCTTTGCCAGAAGATCCTCCTTTTGCAACAAGGCAGAGGCCATCAGAGCAAAGGTTGGTATTTGCCTCAGAGAAATCCAAATTCCTCAATTTCTTCACAGTGGTGACAGTTGATAATTGGTAGCTTTCAGGTTCTAGCATGGTAAGTTGGAGTTTCTTCCTCATAAATTCTTCAACCACAGAAACAGAAAACACCTTTGCTGGTAGATTTATAGCTTGTTCTTTCAAGAGAGAAAAGTTTTCTTCATCTTTGTTTTCCTTACTTTTCTCATCATTCTCAGAGTAAGGGGGAAGCAGTTTTGCTGCATAATAACTTGGGGTACATCTGAACAAAGTGAAACTATCTTCTAGAGTACCTGCCCTCTTTGTTCCAAGGGTGATCTGGTAATAGCAAAAGATATAAGCTAATATATCTAATATAAGCTAAGACATATCATTCTATGTTGCTAACAATAATTTATTTTTCACTTCATCTATAACATACTTTATTACAGACACATGAGAAAAGCATATTTCCATATAAAGAGTTTTCAAATTATTTAAAGATTTGCAATGAGAGTAATGATACAAATAAGGTACAACTAAGACAATAATCTTCTTAGTGCACACCTGTATTCATCTTGAATAACATCTTTAGTAGCTATGATTTAAAGCTAGTTTAATATTAATCTTTAAATACACCGACCCTTCATTTATCTCAAAGTTCACAGACTTGCTGTGCAGAAAGATAGTTAAAAATAGTGGTAACTTTTCTTCTTACCTGCTCAATCTCAGCTAGACCAGCAACTTTTGCAAAGGCACAGGAATTGTATTCCAAAACTGGTAGAAGCTCTGGTAGCTCCTCCATCTGCTCTAGCCCATCACAGCTACATCCTGGTGTTTCTGTTATGGTAAAGCACTCCCAGATATTTACATGAAAAACAACCCCAAAATTATCTAACAACTTTTGAACAGAAAAGTATTTTAGTGAAAGTATACTCAAAACTGCCTTCTGTACCAGAAGCATATCGCACCAATGACGCAGAGATAAGCATGACTTTAAATAAGAAAACAAGCTTTACGAGAAAACACAAATATTAAGCTCCAAAATATGTTATATTTGGAGTCTTCCCCAGTTCTAAAAGCATTTAAAATGGAAAATACATCTCATTATAGTGGGTAGATGAAAACTTACGGCTTAAATTTATGGGTTAGAATTATTCAGAGTGGGTCTGCTTTTGTATATACTGAAATTTGCTATAAAATTTCCAATAATTTACATTGGAAGAATTTACCTGATACAATTTTCCAAGCCCAGAGCTTTCACATTGTTTGATCTGAAAAGCAAATCTGAGTGCTACACAGCATTCCCAAACACTATACTTCAGCCAGGACATGGGAAGTATCCCCTAAGTCTTCATTTCTGTAGCTTCATGAAAGTTCTAGGATTTCTTGAGAAAGCTCATGTTCTAGTATCACATTGGCAAACAGTCATTGCTTCACCTTCCCAAGATACAGTTTTCAGATTAGGAGGTTTTTAGAAGGTCTTATACCCCCTAAATCATGCATACTCACATGAATGAAATCATCTTCGCTTTTATTGCACAGAAATGAAAGCAAAAAATCCAATTTATTTTCATACCAGACTCTTTAGCATGTAGCAGCACAACTGGAGTTTGAGTAGCTCTGCTTCTGAGTAAAACCAAGACTGCTCCCCATTTCAGATTTTGAACATCATCCTGTATTAGATCTCCATTCTTAATGGGAAAAGGAAGAGGAAAAGGAAAAAAAAAAACAGTTTATACAGGCACATAATTTTCCTTTGCTATTTTACATTCAAAAGACCCAATATTGCATTATAATTGCTATTATTTCATACCATTTTCTTATTCCAACACTTTCTATTAAATGTAGTGGTTCAAAACTTTGACTTAATGTTTCCTTCCTACACTACAAAGTGTTAAGGAAGAAAATCTGAGTAATAAGCAGGTAATATGTCAGATGACAGATAGAACACTATCAAAACAGAGTTAATTATATGCTCATGAACAAAGAGAAAATAAAGTCCAATCAAGTAGGGAATGAGACTAATGGTTCAGTACCTAGCTACGAAGATAACTGTTCCTAGGTTGGAAGAACTCAAAGTAGAATAATCATTCCAAATAAAATATTATTTTCCATGATAATTTAATTGTAAATTTCATATTCTGTTCTTGACATTTATCTTGACTCCCTGATTGAATTTGGAAATTGTGACAATTTCTGGTGCAAGGCAGATACCGTTATAGTTTGATACACAGCAGGTCACATTTCACACGCACCATGCTAATTTTTAGTGAATAGAAGACTAAGGTTTGATTTTCTCAACAAAACACATAATCGAGGTGGTAGACAAAACAGCTACAGTGCAGAAAACAAGTCAACACAGTCACTTTTGTCTTCCTGCACTGCTCTGCTTGAATGCCAGTAGAAATCAAACTTGGTCTCTTTGGGCTGAGCTGAAGCTTTAAAATTACAGGTGGGAAAGTAAATCAGTCCATAGTGAATCAGAAAAATTCACTTGATTTTCCACAGGAATACCAGCGAGAATAATTTTGATTTCAGCCCGTGTCAGCTACCACATTATAGTGCTGTTTTATAAGATCTTGATCGGGAGCCATGACTTAAGTGGAAACCACAACACTTCCAAGATTTTTTCCTTCATTTTCTCAGTAATATTAAAGCTAATATTAATTTCTTGAAACACACTCATTCCTTTCCTGCAAGTTTGCCTTTATTTCTTCCCAGATATCTTTTCTTTATTGGTATGTGCATTCCATCAAAAGAAAGTTACAGAAAATTATGTAAAAATACAATGCCTGGATGCCAGAAACATCATGCTGAGAAATCAATACCTCAGCTGTCATGTGAAAACTGTAGAGAGGTGCACTGTTTGGTGTTTCATACTTTTTCTTCACCAACACCTTCAAGAGACCCCTAACATGCACATCTAGAAACTGTCTGATAAAGCAGGAGACAGCCACATGGAACAGCTGCTTTTTCATTCATTTTTGATTCAGGAATAGGCTGCAATCGGAATATTGCAGACAGGATCCTGATATCAAGTTTGGAAATTCAAATTTCTCACAAGATTTATGTGACTGCATCCCTCTGTGGGATGCAGTTCATCTCGGCAATACCAGAAACAAACACTGAATTGGATCTGATATTATTGCATGAAGATGCAATAGTGACTAAGGCTAGTTTTCAAGAATAACTGATGTGCTTGGCATTTGAATGACACAGTATTTACCAAGGAATCTCATACCATGTGTATTTCACAGGAGTTTGATAAGCCTGTCTTCACAAACTAGTTTTTTCCTGGCTGTGAAATAGGCAAATGATCCCATTCATTCTTTCACCAAAAAATTATATACAAGCAGCTTTCCGGAAAAGTAACAGCATGAAGATCTTTCTTGTATTGCACACAATTTCTCACTTTTATAGCTGTGAAGGAGTATAAATAAGCTCAAATAGGATTTTTCTTGTAACTATTTGGGCTTGAATACTGCAAGATCAAGGTAATGAGATTAGGAAACTATTTTAACAGGTGCTAGTAAAACACAAGGTAAGGGGAAAAAGCACTCTTCAGTTTTATAGTACAACACCAGATGTCTCCCTCCTCCTTTTATCATAGTGGGGAAAAATTTTCAATAACCATCTCAAGCCATTTTCTACTAAAAAAAAAAAAATCCAAGAGAATTATTACAGTAGCAGTACCAATAGAGGAGGAAAAGACAACCAGAAATGCAAAAGGCACAAGATTTGATGCTGCTGGTGTTACACGCAGCACTTAAGGAATGCAACCTACTGTGCAGCAGACCAACGTAAACTGGTTTAACACAAATCATGGCCTGTGCATTTATACCAAAGACTGGGTAATTGAGACTCGGTAACCTTCTATGACAACACAGCTGTAAATTAACACCTAGAAAAGAAATGGTTAGAAAACTTTGTGTAGAGGGAATAAGTAACCTTTTATTAGGGTACAGCATTGAAAGAACGAGATTTGGTCCTGTCTCTTGAAGACTTTTTGGATTAGTCTCAAGCAATTAGTCAGTTGATACATCTTGCTTTCACACCTTCAGATAACTCAACATTTACTTTCTCCTTTTCTCAGTTTTCTTAAACCAATAGCAATTCTTCACTACTTCTTCCCTGGCTCTGAAAGCCCTCATTTCTCCTGATTTTAGCTGGGCAGTTCCTTCATAGTGCACTTGGTTGTTGTACTTCTTTACAACTGGATGTGAGTCCCTCTAGAAATATCTTAAAACATTTTCAAACCTTATTCTTCATCCCCAAGAAAACGTGAACTTACTAAAGTAACTGTAGTAATGGTTCAGGCTAAGTATAAAAATAAGCAACAGCAGCCAGTCCTTCTGCCACCTTGGAGCAGCTATGGAGATATTCAGTGAGACACAGCTTCCAAGCTCTCCACAAAGTCACCCATATGCTGCCAGTTACTGCAGGATGATCTTACCACTCTTTCTCTCTCACACAAAGACAACCTCCTGGAGCTCACTTCTTTGAGACTGTAGAGCTTCTAATGGTACAAAATCACCGTGTCTGCAAAGATGCATTCAACTACCAGGTTAAAAACTTTGACTTTATTTCTTCTAGCTTTTACGGACAAAAGATTCTCTCTGCCTTCTCCCAGTTCTGTAAGTACTCACAGTCTGATTGTCCCTCTATACTAAAGGGGTTTTGTTCATGCCCGTTACCTCTCGTTAACTGCAGTTAAAATCAGGAGAGCTCTTGGGACATCAGGTCACAATCTGAATGGAGAGGCTGAGTGTGAGGCTTAACTGATTTCACTTTATTTAACAAATCCTCAGAATAAAAATACCCTCCACCTCAGTGCATAAAGAATAAAACTTTGTTTGAGTCCTCTCTGTGAAAAGAATTGTTCTTTGTCAGCAAAATAAATTGGCAGAAGCTGAATGCCATATTACAGCATATACAGAGCTTTCCCATGCAATGCTGGAGTGAAGTGCTCGAAGCAAACAAGTCCTATTCAGTGTATTCAGGGCATATCACAGTGCTATGGAGCTGCAAACCGCTGAATATCTCAACTCACTCCCAGTCATGAATACTGTATCCATCTTCCCTTGTTTACCATTATCCAGAAAATCTCATAGACAAGATTTATTGTCAGCTGTGCTTTTTTCTTCAGCATTTGGGCATGAATAACATGTGAAAACTCACCCAACCATATGTGTACTTCTCCACTGAATGGTGTCCATGAGACAGAGACTCAGAAGTTCTTCTGGGCTCTACTTCTAGTGCCAACTGAGACTTTTTGCCTTGGGCACATCACTTAAAAACTAAGGAAACAAGATTTGTGAAGTGCCTTCAATGTGCACCTAATAAAAGCACTGTTGCAATGAAGCTCCAAGTACTGATTCCAGTGGGTATGAATCAGACACTGTGAAGTACAGATGCGTCAACAGAAATAAAGGAAAAAAAATGCAGGAAGGAAAAAGCCTCACACTTGCATCTCAACTGCACATCTAACGACAAGTGTAATTGAGGGTGACATAAAGATAAAAGCTAATTATATTTTGCCTTATTTTTACTTACCAGGTCAACGCTGCTGTCTCCATTCTCCAGCCTTGTGTATTGTGAGTCTTTTTCTTTCTTCTTTTTCAGCTTCACCCTACCTTGATCTTTTAAAGCCCTATTTTCCTCCAAAAGCTTTTCCATTTTTTCCTGTAGTCTGATTTCAGATAATTTCAGAGTATAAACATGATGGTAAGATTCTTCCAATTTACTTCTGAGAAAGTCCTCAGTGTCCTGAGAGCACTGGAGTTCAATCAGCAGGTCTGCCTGTTCTCTTCTGTTGTCCTCCTCTTTTTCACTTAAGAACTTCAGATTCTGCTGAAATGCCTCAAGGTGGCTTTTCATGTCATGCTCCACATATTCAATGCAAGTTTTCAGTTCCATTACTTCTACATCAGAGTGTTTATAGCCCTGAGTTCCACTGCATGCTGATTCCAACTTCTGCAGGAGATACTGCACCATTCCCTCCTCTAATTCGGATGTCAAAAGAGCAATATGGGCACTAAGATCTAGGACATGTTTTTCCAGCCTAGATACCTCACCCTGAAGGTAACATTCTCGTTTTCTCAGCACTGCTGTCTGATGTCTCTGCCTTTGTTTGTAGTGTTCAAAATACTCTGATTGACTTTTTATTTCATCTTCTTTTGTCTTCAGCTGCTCCTGAAGCCAGCGTAATTTTTCCTTTTGCTTCTTCTCTAACTTCTGTTGGTTTTCAACCTATAATTTCAGTGAGTTTTATGGTTAACATCTTAATACTAAATATCTTCTTTCCTTATAATTTCTTCTTAATTTTGAAATAATTCATCCCTTGTTTTCTGAAAACTCAGGAATGACATTAGTAGAAATTTTTTAAAGCCAGTGAAATCCTGCATTTAGAGCAAAACTGACCTACTCTTTTGTCATTTCAGCCATCACTGAAACATCTCAATAGGAAACAAATAAAACATCTACTCCCACATCTACTACTACATAAAATGTAGGAAAGTTTTTAAACACTTTCTTTTGCATATTCTACGGTACATATTACATCAAATAAAACACTTGAACTGGAATTCATACAACCAGCTTTGAAATAGAGAGTAACAAATCCTTAACACTGACAGCAGTGTAGCACTGAGAAGTTGCAGGCAGGGAAGCTATGGTTCTATTATAGAAAACAGTACACGTGCTTTCTAGAGACCAGGCTTTTGCCCTTTGCCCTTCACCATACCTGTCATCTGTCAGTTCCTTTTATGAACCTGAGAAAAAAGGAGAAAGGAACAGATGTCTTTGGAATCAATTTGAGAAAGATTTCAGTATTTTCATTTGCACCAAAGTGTGTTTGAACACAGAGATGTACAGAGGTGAAAGATGTCGATGAAAAATAGAGAAGGCTTTCATGATTCCCATGCTGCCCTTGTTTTGAGCCAAGTAAGAGCCACCAGTATCATAGGGCCACTGTGGCAACTCTGAAGCAAGACCGAAGGCACAGAGACATTACTGTATTTCTTCAAGGACTTCTTTAGATCAGTCTTTTTGATCTTTGGTATCTTCCTGTCTGTGGGGTTCACTGACAAGGGCAAGACAGGAGGAACATTAGGCTGAAATGTTATGGAAAGTCAGGTAGGTGTGGGATAATACTTTGGTCAACTGTTGATGGGAATGTATGTATGTCTAAGCTTCCTGAGTCTTGAAAAGTACATTTCTTTTTAATTGAAAAAGGGAAGACTACTGTTCATTCTTATGAGTACTGCCACATGGTACTAGTGTCCTGTTGGAGTATTCAACTTTGACATAAAATGTTGAGAAATTGAAAGTGTATCTTATGATAAACAGAATAAAAGACATTGTTTCATTGTAGACTGTCCCTGAAAAACTTCCATTCCTTCTGCATTTTCCAATGAGCTGTACAAACTAGGTAAAAATGCCTGTTTTATGTGTTATCAGCCAACAGCTGACCTTCCTGATACAAAACATTTATGTGAAGAATACTAGAACTCAGGAGAACTGAAGGCTTTCCACTGCAGAGCTGACAATTTCAGAACAGACAGGGGGAAGGGAGAGTTGCAAGGGCATGCAATCAGCAGTGGGATATTCATGGCAATGAGGAGGCAGGTCATCTTGTCCCAGTGAGGGCTCGCACTGCCAGGGCTCTGCAGAGTGTTGACCCACATGAAAATGCATCACAGGAAATAAGGTGAGACCCAAACCAATTCGGGAAAGCTGGAAAAGGACACAAGGCTAAGCAGGAAGCGTAAAGTGAATGTAACAGCAGATGGGTCCAGCTTGAAAATGCACAAAAAATTCAAGAGACAGCTGCATTTCATACAGAAAACAGGCTGTGTTAGCTGTGTTATACTGTTGTATTGCATACGGTCGGGAATAAAAAATGCTTTATTATGGGGCTAGAAAGATAAAGTCTGACCTAGAGAGGAGTACGCTGAGTAGGTTCTGGGGAGAAAGAGGAAATGGGACCATATATCTCAAAGATCAAGGGCCTGGATGAGAGGAACTGTGGTAGTGCTGTCAAAACCATTAGAGAAATAGAAAGTAGAGCAAAAAAGACCAAAAAATTCTTCTGATTCCTCTGTTTGTAGGAAAAGAGAAAGGCTGAGATAATTTACTGCTTAAAACCAGAGAGGTCACTGGAGATGAGCCTGACATAAATTATTGTTTATATTATTATTTATTATTAAATTATTAGTTATAAATTATTTATTATTATTAGGCCAAGTGCAAGGTCCTGCACATGAGTCAGGGCAACCCCAAGCACAAATACAGGCTGGGCAAAGAATGGATTGAGAGCAGCCCTGTGGAGAAGGTCTTGGGTGTGTTGGTTGATGAGAAGCTCAACATGACCTGGCAATGTGTGCCCACATCCCAGAAAGCCAACTGTATCCTGGGCTGCATCAAGAGAAGCGTGGCCAGCAGCTCAAGGGAAGTTATTCTCCCCATCTATTCTGCTCTCGTGAGACCCCACCTGGAGAACTGTGTTCAGATCTGAGGCCCCCAGCCTAAGAAAAACATGGACCTGCTGGCACAAGCCCAGAGGAGGGCTACAAAGATAATAAGAGGGCTGGAGCACCTCTGTTGTGAAGACAGGCTGAGAGAGTTGGGTTTGTTCAGCCTGGAGAAAAGGCTCTGGGAAAACCTTATAGTGGCCTGGGAAAGCCGGGGAGGGACATTTTACAAGGGTATCACTATAGGACAAGGGGTAATGGCTTTAAAAAGAAAGAGGGTAGATTTAGATTAGATATAAGGAAGAAATTCTTCACTGTGAGGGTGGTGAGACACTGACACAGTTGCCCAGAGAAGCTGTGGCTGCCCCCTCCCTGGCAATGTCCAAGGCCAGGTTGGACGGGGCTTTGAGCAACCTGGGCTAGTGGAAGGTGTCCCTGCCCATGGCAGGGGGTTGGAACTAGGTGATCTTTAGGGTCCCTTCCAACCCAAACCATTCTATGGTTATCAGAAAGAAAAGCTAAACTAGGTCATTTGAAACAATATCCTCCTCACCAGGTTCATCAGGTCCTCACGAATGTCTTGCAATTTCCCTTTGACACGCACATTTGCATTTTCAACCTGGTGCAACTTCACATTTAGTTGATCAATCATCACAAGAAGTGTTTTATGTGACAGCTCCAGCTCTTTCATCCTGTGACAGTGAGAATGAAGATCTTTGCTAAGTAAATATTGCATAATAAAGTAATACAGTTCCAGATAAATAAGCAGTCATCAGTCAATGCCTTAATTTTTCCATTTTTTCCCTAACAATAAAATAATAACAAATTGTTGATTACTAATAATACATACTTAATTCTTAACAAGTCTGTTGGGGTTTGCACATTACATTTGAGACTCTCAAAATTGTTAGACAACATCTAACAATTTTCTCTCTGCTGGCTTAATACAAAATCATAAGCAAACTCATTTACAAGATTAATGTTCACTGAAGCTTGGCATGCTATATGAAGTAACAACTTACCACAAAGACAACCACAACATTTTTGTCTCTACATGTCTCTGATCACAGGATTTTGCTAGGTTCATGGTTAGCAAATTCAAATTTTATGATGACGGTAAATACTTCCCAATAAAATTAAGATTAAAGGTAACCTATGAGTTATTGTGTTTTACTGAACAAAGGGAAAACATCTTACTTGTAACACACCTCAGTTGGTACTGAAACCTACAATGCATAACTGCATTGACTTCATCCACAAAGCTGGATTTTGACAAAATACAGGTTTTCTTTGCCTGTTGCCATTAAAATGGTAGTGTAAGATGATGTGGTGTGATGTTGTGGGGTTCCTCTACACAGGAGGAATACCTAAGATAATCTTACAAGAGTAAGCTTCATGTTTTCCTTAAAGTTTTCCTTCCATTTTCAGTCTACACATCAAAATTTTCTCAATTCTTTAAACAGTTGTGAATTCCAAACATCCTTTCCTTGTTAAAGATTTTTTTTTCCCTGTCTCTCATCTCCTGTGGCAGTTACTTTTCTCATCTCAGACATGCACACATTACCCTCTTTGCCCCTCAGGACTGTGCTGTATTGTATCTTCTTCCTTGAATTTCTTCATTCAACCTTCAACAGTCTTCCATTCAGCTTTCCTGCTCATTTCTATATTCTAGCCTTGTCTTAATGCCCTTACCTGCCAAAATTTCCTCCTGCCTCTATCCCAGTGTGTCAACGATAACTTCATTCAAAAATCTCACATAAAAACGTATTTCTGAAGTAACAGGATTAAAATGGAAAACACATAATTAAATAAATACCTATTAATGTACTGACAAGGTCCTCCCCACTGCAGACACTGCATAATCTAACACTGGTATCAGAGGAAACTTGAGCCACATCACCCCAAAATTCCACCCTGGCTAGTTACAACTACTGACTCTGCTTCTCTATTTTTTCCAATAGTTCTTCCTCCCACATCATTCCTCATCTCTGTCTGTGCTTCAGCCACAAGAACTTCAGGCACGGATTTCTTTTCTTCTGACTGGCTACCCAAGATCCTTGAAAATGTGCTTCCTATATCCCAGGCAATTTTCAGCTAGTTATTTGCACTGTTCTCTCATACTTACTTTGTTTCGGTTTTAAAAAAAGTTTTTCCCATCTTCCCATGTCTGAAATCTTTGTTAAAATAGGCCTATTCCTATGAAAGCTTCCATTCCAAAAAAGATTTGTTATTGTTTTGATAAAAAGCCCATTATTAAAACATTTCTGGCCAAATACTTTGACAAATCAAAACAATTAATAAATTATACAAGTAATTATTTTTAATATCATTGATATTTTCTATTCTTTTAAACTATTTGCTTTGTTTAGAACAGTGCAGTTGCTATCAAAACCTTGATCTTATTCTATTCAACTACATAATTAATGCCTAATGGCACCTACTGTAATGATTATCACTAACTTACTAAACTAGATGAAGCTTTTTGAAACAAGGAATTTTTTTGCAACACAAAATTCCAAACTAACTTAAAAGGAAAGGGATACATTTTGCAAGCAGAATTTACACCTTATGAATATTTAAGAATGAAACATCCTGAGAAAGTTGTCTGGTTATTTGCAACAAGATTTGAGATCATGCTGTAAATCTGATTTAAATAATAAACCCAAGAAATTGAATACTGCATTTCTATTCTGACAGTTACATAAAACACTTATACATGCATCTTATCAGGCACCCTAAAACCACATAAAGTCTTTCTTTTTGAAAGTTTTACACATATCATTTGACAGACAGTACATGGGGCAAAGGAAAGAGCATATTTGTCACATCACATTAATTTTGAATGCAAAACCCCCTTTTATTTACCTATTTTTTAGGACAGAATCCGACTCCAAGTAGTCCTCTAAAACACCTTTCAGTTTGTGCTCCAACTTTTCCAGCTTTTCTATTCTGAGTTTCAAATTCTCTTCTCCAGAACCATTTACTTGTTCATCAGATATTCTTGCATCTTCTAATTCCTGGAAAACCCAGGAAGTATCAGTTTTAACATCGAAATTCAGGACATCAAATCCTTCATTACTGGGCATTTTAATACAGTAACAAAATTCTTGTTCTCTCCCAGATGAAGGATCCATGATGAAAAAAACCCAGATTATTAGGTTCTCAATGTACTGCAGTCTAAAGAGTTTAAGCCTCTGGTGATCAAATGAACAGTCCTCGATTCTGAACACATTTATTATGTATGAGAGAGTCTCATTTCATTAGCCCCAAGGTAATTCAGCATGTATGAAAGGAGTTGCAGTTCACAACATGAGATCCCTATAAAAGATTCAATTAGACTAATTTATGAAGGAATTAGGCATCAAAGTTTTGAAAAGAAGATAATTTTCTACTAGAGGAGTTCATAAAATTGAGCACATTTATCACAAAAAAACCCTTACTTATTTTAGATAAATGTATGATATTTTTATTTCGAGACAGATTTTAAAAGAATATTTCCTACTTAAAAGGCAATCTTTGACTATTTCAGAGAAACATTCAGTATATTTAACTGGTATTTTGGAATTCTGCATTCAATATTTTACTTCAAAGTCTGCTTCACCTCCGACAGGATATGAAATAATGCCTAAAAGGAATTTTTAAACCTGGGCTTGGGGAGCCAAGCTAAGTTTGGTTCTTTTCCTTTGCATCTTTTAGCAAGAGCTCTAAAAGTTCTTCAGCCTGCAGTCCACCTTCATTTACAGAAACTCTTTAGCAGGTATAGTCCTATAACTGGCATTTGTGAAATGCCTTTGGTGTTGTTACATTTGTATTGATTTGGAGTTGGATCTGTAATTGAAATTAAACCAGAGTCTGCACCTATTCTCCAGGAAATAATGCAGTTACATGGGTGGGGGGTTTTGTGGGTTGTTTTGGTTTTTTTTTTTTTCATAAACAAATGCTGAATCTACGGGGCAAAAAAAAGAACAAGAGTAGCATTTATTTTTGCCACTGAAGTCTAGAAAGTAGCACAAAATCAGTGCAAAAAACCCCCAAGCAAACAGTACTCTTATTGTCCCATATTTTGATATGTGGTATTCACATATATGGTGAATTACATAAAATTTTCTCATTTTGGCCCATTGTATCACTCACTGGCTTTATGTCAGCTATGGAAGGATCTAGAGCTGAAAAGATTCAGACACTCTTTGGTCCTTTGAGAAGCCATGATACTTAAAAGCTACAAGTGTGGAAAGCGAAGTATAAATCCACATGTACAACAAAGTTCAAACCACTTTTTGATCGTCTCTAGACTTACCAAGCCCAGTTCCTTCTGAGAGACCATTCATTCCTGAGACCTGTAAACATAATCATGTCTCTCCCCTGGCCTGTATGGTTTCCCAAATGGGACAGTATCTTTGATTTTGAGCTCCTTAAGACACTAATATATCATCTGTATTTATTATTTGTAAAGTGAATAGACATCCTGCTCCCTGACAATGGGCATCCCTGAACACCATTGCAAAAGGAATATATAATAATAACGGACATTGTTACTCTGCTTATTAACAATTTACAGTCGAAGCCAAATTAATGTCACTTTTAACTGTGCCCCAGCCTAATATCCAAGTCATAAGCTGTAAAAAGAAAAATTCTTAGTGGTACATTTTGCAGAAAGTAGCCAACAAATAAAAGCAGTGAGGATGGACCAGGCAGAAAGTTAAGTGACACTTAAAATTATTACACTGATTTCTATCACATATTTCTATAAAGAACATGCACTAAGTGTACTTTTATTCACTCTTATAATGAAAGTTAATACAATTTCTAAAGTTGATCTCAAACCTCCCGATTCATTAGGCTCTACACTTCTGATGCTTCTTCCTGAAAACTAACGAGCACTTCAGCTTAAAATCAAGAAAGCTTTTATGACTAATATCTGAAATGAGAAATTTATTATTTCCTATTTCACTTATACATCTGGGACAGATCATTTAAAAGATGTGTCACAAAATGTGAAAATGGGGCCCAGCACCTTGTATGGACTGAATCTAGTCAGTTAACACACTGTACCTCTTCCCAGCTCTATAATAAATAGCAATATGTAATAGATAGTAAGACTGGAATGATATACTCAGTTTTCTAAACTACAAATCCTGCTATGTCAGCACAGAACAAAAACATCATGTCATGGAAAACGTCACCCAAATCAGCCATTTTCTTTGAGAAAACTGTCACATGTGTATTACAATGTAAATAAAAACATTAAAAAATGAAACCTCTCATACCTCTTCCACTTTGTAACCAGGCCATCTCCCGTCTCTGCAGTGGGCTTACCGTTGCAGCCATGTGCTCTGACCATCCCATGTTTGTGCTTATAGTTTCCAGAAGCAGTGATGAGCAAAACTAAGTCTATGAGGATAAAGTGTGTTTCTTTGCCAAGTGAATCACACTTTTCAATTTCTGTTCCTTTATCAGCACCTAGTTTGGTTATCTCAAGATCTGTTTATCTCCCAGTGTCCTTCTCTTCTGAGTAATGCCAAAACTCTTCCTTTTGCAGCGAAGACCCCATTTTCCCATATTCTGTCAAGACTCCACTAAAAGCTTTAACTAAAACATGAAAAAACTCTTTTTGAAAACACATTCCCTAAATGCTTGTTCCTTCTCAACACCTTGTAACATTCTTTCGGGGATTGAGTTTTCAAACTTCTTCAGGATCCCTGTTTCCAATTTAAATTGTGCTTTGTACCAGGAAACAGGGTTATTTAGATCCTCACACAAGCCATAGCTTGCTGCATCTCACTGAATTAATCTTGTGGAGTGTCTCAGCTCCTTCAGCAAGTAAATGATCTTGTCTGGTGATTCTTTGTGAAGAGTACATCTTTGGTCTTACTTCAGAGCCTAAAAATTATCTGAAAAACCTGGCTTCTTTTGTGGCTGATTCCTGCACCTTCAACGGTGAGATATCCAGTTGCTATGACAAATCTTTTCCTCAGCTTTCTTTGTGCTAACCTGATTGTTCTTTGCCTTATGTTTTTTTTTCAATCATAACTTCCACTTTATCTGATGCATTATTGTAACCATCTTACTCCACTCTATGTTCATGTCAGAGTTCAGTGTGTCCATGGGAGCAGACTTGTTTCTCTGTAGCCTTCTATGTAGCCCTTTTAACATAAAGATGATTTGCCAGATACGAGGGAGGAGAAAGTTCTCTTGTGCTCTTAATATTTTCAGATTACCTCAACATTCCAGGAAGAATTAAAATTATCCATTTCTTCATATTGCCTTTCCAGCTCTGAAACAATAATTTCCTCTTTGAAATAAAAGCCTAACCTTTTTGATTTTTCTAACTATTCTCCATCTTAAACAACTCTTTTCAACTATTATTTTTTCAATCTGTGCTTCATACAAATATTTTTCTTGCGGTTCAGGTGATAGTGTCCTTTAACGTTTATCTATCTCTGCAGCTTGAGGTTGGGCCATTTTTGCTTCCTGGTAGTGTCAACATTTTTATTTCACCTGGGAGGATGACATGATTTCCAAATATTTATTTCCAACTATTTATCTGCTTACCATGTTTGTCCACACACCCTTTTCTTCAAGCCCCTCTTTCTTCTTGAAGAGATAACTGAGCACAGCGCATTATGTGTTCCTTTTCCTGACCTCTCAGGCCACCTTGGGATGTTCCATTCTCCCAGAGCTATCTTTACAAGTTATTGCCTTAATTTTCAAGAGACGTTCAAAAAAATAGTTCCTCCCACGCAGTTCTTACCCACTTCAAAGTATTCCTAGTTCAATCTACCATCTTCCCTTTTTCCAAAATCTATCTCTTCTCCATCTGTGGATTTCCATCTTCTGAATTTAATATGAATTTTACCACTGCAGGGTTGTAAATCTCTATTTGTTTCCAACTTTGAACAGTTTTGTTGTTTGTTTTTTTTCCTGTCAGCTATTTACTATAGAGAACTTACTGTCAAACACTTAGCTTTTTTAGATAGATATTAAAAAGGAGATTCTGTGTTTCCTGGGTGAAATGCAAACCACGTTTGTTGAAAGCATGCAGTATGGAGACAAAGATCCCAGTACTGTAAGAAAACGATTTGGTAGATAACAGTTCACAAAGCAACCAGTAATTGCACTTGTATTTTTTCCAGTGTTTGATTGGTGTGAGAGTGTAAATTCTGTTTAGATTTTTTTCAGTGTTTATGATGTGCTGGTCCTCATTTGATTATCAAATCATTCCAGCTTGAAGTTATATCTCTAAAAAAACCTCTAATTTTAAATTTAAATATTTTGCAGCTTCAAGTATTATGCAAACTGTTTTATGAAAAAAAATGCACCAATTTAAAGCTGCTCAATAAATATTTTCTGTATTTTTTGCAAGTGGATTCAGCTGTTCATTCCATAGGTTCTTTTAATAACCTGTATACAAAATAAAAACCAAAACCAGAAAACAAAACCAACAACAACAAAAAAGAAAAAAGTACGCTGAGCTTTAGATCGATAACATTAATTTAGAAATAAGTGTTGGCATCCAGGCCCTAAATTCACAGAAACCAAAATCTCTTTCTGAAATATTTATATTAGCTTCAAAATAACAAGAACCAAAACTACTATCAGTAAATCCCTGGTTTGTCTCAAAATAATGAACAATGTTCAAGAGTCCAACTATAGCTAAGTGTCTTAAAATAGGCTTTGTTGTGTTAATTAATCAGAGATAGATTATTAATTAATAAATCGAGACAGATTCACCTCTGACAAAATGAATTAAAGGAAATTACATTCCACACTAACACCACAATCTGATGTGCACTCCTAGAAATGTGAGAGTTGAGTATCTATGTGGCCACACAGCCATTATCCCTGTGTTATCCCCTCAAAATACCTGTCACCAGCCTTGAATTTAACTACTTAAATAGTTACTGTTAACAGGAGGAATATTAGGTTATATCAGCACAATGTGTTTTCTGGAGACTAATTATACCTGCAATATTTTCTTCTTTTTTCTTTTTTTTTTTTTCTTCCCCAAGGGGACACATAATACTATCAGCACAGACACCTATAGATCAGACCTGAACATTTTCATAAGGAAAATGCTGTAAAAATCTTGCTCAACTTCAACTAATTTTCAACATCCATCTAGCAACAAAAAGTAAGCTACTGCACTTGGCACAGATCAATAATACCCTTGGAATATATTCCATCCAACTGTATCTACCATCATTTTATTGCAAAATATAAAACATATACAGCAATGCCACTAATGAAAGACTGGAGCCAGTTCCCAAGAGCATGAACAGAAAGATGATAACCCCCAAAAGAGTCCATGACAATACAGGTCTGATCTCTCAAAAATACTTGTGATTTGGGCAGAAAAAAATACTGTTTCAAGGTTAATGTAAGGTAAATATCATAGCTTTTTTGGGTAACTATTGTCATCATTCTGCTTCATCATACAGTACTTGATAAGAGTTCAAAGGGTTGATTAACCTCATCTCCTACTATAAGGAGATGCCATGAACATATTTCACAACAGATTTCAAAAAAACAAAACACCTGGAAAAATAGTAATCATAAAAACACATGTATTTTCAGTTAAAAAAACCCCAAACAAACAAACAAACAAAAAAAAACCAACAAAACAACAGCCACAACAAAACCTCTGTGTAATTATTAAATAGTTTAAAACCATATCTTAATCCTCAAACAGCTAGCTTGTTGAGTTACCATCCTTACTGAAAGGTAGTGTACAAGTTGTGTTGCTCCAGGGAAGAGGGCTAGGACTGATTTTCTATATTGTATTTCCCTCTTGTTGTGTGTAAGGTGAGCACTGCCACTACAGCTCCTGCTGTACCTGAACAAATTCATTTTGTCCTTTCATTGAGCTGAAAGTATCGGGACTCTGTGGAAAGGGTAGTGGGAACGATGGTAGTGTCTCAAGGGAGAGACATGGAGGTTTCTTGTCTTTGCCCTTTCCATGTTGCATGGGCACATGGAGGGTCAGTCACATTGCAACCTTCACACTGCCTCACAAAAGGGAAATTAGGTAATGATTTCCTAAGTTAGTTCATGGCTTCAAGGATCCTGAGGAAGTACAATGAACCCCTTTTTTTGTATGGGTGGTGTTGCTTACAGGACTTTTTAGAAAACAAAACTGACAACAAATATTTGCCACCTCTCCATCCAGCATGACAGAAAGTAGGATCTTACAGCAATACCTGAACTTTTAGACAAAATGTACCTGCTCTGCAGAATTGAAAAGCACCCACTGCAGTAGAGCAGTCAGTATCTTAGAATGCAAAATAATTTCTCGTTGAAAACCCAGTGACTTTCTACAGAAGTCTAGGAATGTAACTGAAGGCATCCAAGTAAAATTTTATAGGAGACACTTCCTCTCTGTGCAAGCAAAACCACTGTACCCTCCCCCATGGTTTCAGAGTCTTACAAAGACAAATAAGAGTTAAAAATTGAGTTCAAAGAAATATAAAGAGTACCAACCGCACGTCTTGGCTCAGTTGTGTCATCAAGGCCACAGAATGAATGCTAGTGAAAAAAACAAAAAAAGGAACAAAAACTATAACATAAGATCAAAAGAAAATGAGGAAAAAAGAAAAGAAAAAATATGTAAGATATGTAATAAGAAAATCTGGTTACATTATTTTACAGCAGTTAGTCTTACATCAGTATTAACTGAGTTGATCTGAAAGAGAGATACAGTACACCAATATTACTCTAAAAAGGGGTAACAGGATACAAAATTCAGTATTTGAGGGCAGCTTTACAAATGGTAACATTTGTGGATTATGTAAACTCAGAAATATTAAGCTTGGCTTTGCAACTCATTTAAGCAAGTACACACCTGAAAGCTCTCCTGAACCAAGACTTAACAGTCCAAGGACACAAACTAAATCTAACTCAAAATAATAGAGAATCAGTTATGAGAAAAGCATGATGCATTTAAACAGCACTTGTTCCTCATGTATCATAGAATAAAACTGAGATTTTACATTATTCTTTTGTATAGCCTTTAGAAGCAGGACAGTTTGCTGAAGAATCTATAGGGAAAAAATACTGTCATCCTTATGTTCTGATTTGACAGAATTTTACATAAAACTTAGAATTGGAATTCATTCCTAAAGGAAAATATAAAGACATACTCATGACACAGTAACTATAAATGGTGCATTGCCCTTAGCTACAACCAGCAATGAGCCTCAGCTACAAATACTGGCATTCCTTCAAAAGCGTAAGACCTCTCCACAATAAATTATTGTGCTCCATATCAGCAGACTGGTTTGGACCCACTGATATATTAAACCGTCAGAACAATGAAGTGGAAGTATAATATTAATTGATTCTCTGACAACACAATCTTCCTTTGGGTATTCAAATTTAGAATGGGATTTAATCCCAAAGAAAAAAATATCCAAATGTAACACACATAGAAGGAAGCCCTCCACCCATCCAGGAGTTGAAGGTTAATAGAAAATGATGATGTTTTCTTGAGGTCTCCAGGTAATGTAACATTAAGGCAAAGAGAGCATTATTCATTTTAACTTATTACCAGCGTTCTGATAAGCTTGTGATTAAGCCCTTTGAGGGGTGGCTACTGCCTGTGTTTCTCTGATAGTGGAAATGGGGACCACTGCCTTCCCAATGGATGCAGACAGACTAGCCCCAGCCAGGAAGTAGTGGGGGTGATGCAAAGTGACTATTAGCAACAGCTGGAGACAGCCCAGCTTCTCACAGCTCTTCTTCTGCCTCTTCCACAAACCCAGCTGGATATCACAGTTCAAAAAGTGCAGGATGAGGTACCTCAGAGGGCAGACAACTACTGTGGGAGCAGAAGGGGCCAAGGAAGCGGCTGAGGGAATTGTAGTAGCTGCTAGAAGTGCAGTACCCCTAGAGGGTGACACGGGGAGGACAGCTACATCCTGAGAGCAGATGAAGGGACAGTGAGATTAGTGAAGGGTGAGGATGAAACTTTCCCACATCCTACAAGCTGCCCCCAAAGCCTCTCTCAGTTCTGCAAACCCTACTAACATCTTCCAGCTTCCATTCAGAGTCCTCCAAAAGCTTTCCTTTTGTTCCTCTGATCCCAGAAGAAAAAAAAAAAACAAAACCAATGACTGAAAGCTCCACCGAAAACTTCTCTATTCAGCCCAGCAGCAAGTTAATGTAGGATTAGGTACCCATATGTACCAGAGAAAATGAACATGAGATAATGTGACTCATCTTGGGATCTAGGCATTAGTTTAGCAAAAGCAACATAACTAAACCGTTTTGCCAGGGCTTAGAGAAAGCCCTGTTGTCAGCTCATGCCCTGCAGAACAGCCTAAACTCCACAGAGCTGGAAGACACTTGAGCCCACAGTCCAGGAAGATCATGCTGGCTCTTGCTCTGGACCACAGTGACCCAGACACATTTGCTGCCTTAAGCCTCAATCAGAGCTTCTTCAAAAGAGGAGAAAATCTGGATCCAGCCTATTAATTTGAAACTTGTGTCCATCTTAAAGCAAGAAATATTTTTTGTTTGTAGTGTTCGTCACATGCACCTCATTTTGCAAAACAATGTTATCCAAAGAACAGGGCTGAGCTAAGCGATTCTGTCAGAGACAAATCTTTGTTGTTTCCTGATCTAAACAACAGTAAATCTTTCCCCTTCTAATCTAGCATCTTTTCAGACCCCTTCGTTCCTTTCTGTACTTGATAGAAAATCCAGATAGCAAATGATTTTTAGCAGATTAGGGACAGAGCTTCATTTCATGCAGTAATATATTAAATTCAAATTTTGTCTTGTTTTAAAGGAGATTTTGTTATATTAGGTTAAGTACTATTAATGTCAATGCAACACAGGAAAATAAATTAGTATGGAAAAAAAATCCATTGGCATCACTCAAGCATTTATTTACCTTTTCCTCAATTTCTTTGAGTTGCCTCTTTTGAAGTTCTATTTTATCTTCTAGTTCTCGAATTCGCTGGAAGAGAAAAAACAAAATAGACATTATTATATCTAATTTTAAAAGTATATACATCAAAAAAAAAGAGTAGATTAAAAAGTAAGAGAAAAAAACGTCCATTATTAATGTAACACTTCCTTTACAGTTATATTAGACCTGTCCATGGCACGATTGCTCCATGCTTCCATGAAACCACGGCATTTTAAACAAGCTGCGCATTTAGATCAGCAAGTCTACTCATTAATCATAATTTTAACATATACACACAGACAATTCCAATTAGCACCAAAATTCTTAGAAGTAGAACACTATTTTCTCTGCAACTGCTAGAAGTTTTTCTATTTACTTAGACAGTCAGCAGATTATATTATTACATTTCAACTCCCTGTTTTCATTTCCTATAAAACATAACTATGCTTCTGGCATAGTCATGCTATACCAGAAAAACAGAGCACACAGATTTTCAGTTCATCACCAAAACACCATCCAGAGATTTATCTCCATCCTATTACCAGAGCCACCTCTCACCAGAGTCAGAGGGAACGTTTCCTTTAGTGTAGTGCTCTGTAATTTTAAGGATTTTCCTTGTTCTGTTCCACAAAGGATCTCCAAAAATATGACTGCTGTTGGATCTACATATTCTATCTTACTTCTGTTCCCTTGTTTCATTTCTGTAAGTTATGCTAAAAAAAAAATAAATTCTGGGCTTCTACATTAAGAAGATGCATTTAATTACACTTTTAGTATATTGTACTTGTTACAGATAAAGTAGGTTCATAAATTATTTTTTTATAGGTGGAAGCCTGGAATCTCCTACTAACAGCCAGTGGTAATCAAGGAGCAACTTTATACTATCAGGTTTTTTGGGGATTAACTACCTGACCTCTGCCTGGCCTCCTATAGCTAAAGTTATTAGCAGTTCATGAACTTTGGAAGAAAAAATATCACCTACTCTAATACTACTCTCCACACAAATACTGCCCACAGCTCACAACAACAGCTTTGTTACTGTTGCTGCTAGTTTAAAAAAAAAAAACAAAAAAACAAAAAACCAAAAACCAAACAACAAACAACCAAAACCAAAATGCTTAAATAACTGGTTTGAATATTATGCAGTCAGAATAAGTCAACCAAAACCTCCACTGTATCATGCTGAAATGTTCAGAGATTTCCACAGATAATATAAAAGCACAAATCAGATTACCTTCATGTGACACAAGTGCATGCAGCTTTTCTGACAGTAACAAATGCCCCAAGCACAGCTGTATTAATTTTGCTTTTCCTATATTACACTTGAATTGATTTATACTTCATCTACTCCCTGCTCAAGACAAGGCTATCTCACCAGTGATTATCTTCATATACTCTATGTACCAGGAATATTACGATCACTGTAAAAAGCCATGGGATGAGAAGCAGGCAGATGTAATCACCTCTGAGATCTCTGGTCCATCAGGATACACTCCTGTTTCTCTCACTTTAGTTATGCTAATTCCTATTTAAATCTATATCCCAGAGCTGAGTGACAGACTTCAAATCTCTGGGAGTCCTGCTATGTTCTGTGACAAAATTTGACCACGGTGAGATAAGTGGAGAGAAGGAATGTTTTAAAATACCATTTTCACCTTCAAGTTTTATCATGTAAGATATTTTTTCAATATCTGCTGAGAATTCTCCTCCAGAAAAAAGGAAAATAAAAAAGCCCCCAAACATCTGGTGGCTTTCTCACCTCAGGGTTTACAATAAGTATCCTTTTATAAAAGAACATGTTAATTAGGATAAGACAGCAATTTTCAGATTTGGGAATTATGTTAATTAAGTAAAAATTGAGATGTTATTATTCCCTTATGAATTTTTAATCTTTTCAAAAGATTACAGCTATTCAGCTATTCTCTCCAGCTATTCAGAATAGCTAAAAAAAGAAAAAAAAAAAAAAAAAAAAAAAAAGTTTCTGTTCTCTAATTCTCACCCATAACCCATCATAACTATCAAAATTTGTGAAACAAAATCTAGAGAATAGTTTTAAGGTGAGGAAATATAACCTTTCATAAAAATCAGTTTAAATGCAAGATAATCTAGCAATTATAAGGGAATACTCTGCATAGGGTTGAATTTCTTAGCAGTGAAAATCTACAAAATATCCTCAAAACTAGATTTTTGTCAGAAAGGCAGACATCTACCAGGTGGATATAGTCTGTAGGGCAGATATTTACATGTATGCATGTGTATAAGCAAACCTGTTCCAGACTTACCACCTCAGGTTAATATGTTGAAGAGAGGTGACTGGTGTTTAAATACCTAGTATTCCCCTTATACGAGTGAAAATTGCAATGACAGAAGACTTAACACTGCAAATGAGTAACATTTTGTAACCAACTTCTTTACTACAGAAATTAAAAATTAAAACCTAGACAGGTCAGAATTGTTCTAAAACACAACCATGGACCGGAATATTCCATCAGGTAGCAAAGCTTGGGGTCATTTACTTCTAGTTGTTTAATTGCTTTCCCCTGGAGTATTGTAGGGAGGATTATCCGGGAGGATCAAGTGGGTGTAGCTATTCCCATCACTATCCTCTGACTGCACAGGGTCAGCACTGGAAGATAACCTGCCTAGCTCAGCTATTTATATTTCCTAAAAAGTCTGATTTAACTAATTTCTTTCCATTTGACTACAGAGATAGCCTTAAAAATATATACATATATATGCAGTATATTGACAGGAAAAGAGCATCTGTAAATACTGAGTTTACATCTGCATGTAGTATTTAACAGATAAAAATAATTATTTCCCCCCATTATACCTATCCCCATTTACAGCATTATCTTGATCAAAGATAACAATTTCCAAAATATGACTTTAAAAAATACATGTAAGCTACATGCAATAATCCTAGCTTTAACAAAAAAGTGCCTTCTAGAAGTAGTAAGAGATGTTCCTCAGTCAAAGGTTATATTAAACTACCAAGAAGGAAATTACACAAAAATTACACATATTAAGACCAAAGGCAGGACTGCTTGAGATTCAGTATAAGCATGTACATCTTTATCTACTGTTCCTTTTATTTGCAAGATTTAGCAGTCAAGAAGCTGTGGATTCACTCTCAGGATTTCAACATTTGATTGGATGCTTTCAATGAATTCTGATTTGTTTACATTTGCAAAAGCATAACTTTTACAACAATGCGGAACTATTTTGTTACCAAGAAAGTCTACTTACTTTAATGCTGGAGGGCATAAGTGGATGATCAGTAAGCCAAGCTTTTCCTAGTATGTCATATAGAGTTGTAACAGTTGTGCTATAAAAGATGCATTCATCTCTATCTTTGACAAGGTTCATAGGAACCTTGCAGGGTAAATCCAGTGCATTTTCAACTGCACAAAAAACTATGCAAGGAGGCAACAAAATCTATTGTATCTTGCTCTCAAAACATTGATAAGTCTTGGTTAAGGAGAAAGCTACAGGCTGTTCTTTTATTTTCTTTTTTAAAAAGGGAGGGAAGACAACCTAAAAGCAGCACAGTGTTTGTTGCCTTTAAACACCCTAGCACTGGTCACAGTCAGAGCAAGGATTAGGGACAAAATAGAGCAATGTTACACGGGGTTCTAGCAGTTCCTGTGTTCCTACAGTTAATAGCTGGCCCTCAGTCACATGAGAGCACCTTTTGGGGACTGACAGGATTCATGAGAATAACAGTGTTGTCAAACCGTGAGGCCATACAAAGGAATTACTGTAGGCAAACAAAGAGCCACAGTCAGACAAAAAGAGTGCAGTGAGAATGCAGCCACGAAAGAAAAGAGAACAGACATTAGGGACGTGGATCCTTAACACTGTCCACCTGGCCTGCATTCAAAACCAACCCGCCAAAATCACAAATACTAGTTTGCCATTTAATTTATTACAATAGCAAATAAAACCTCACAAATCTTCTGGAGGAGGGATGGGGAGATTTGTGACTACTCTGTGTTACTACCTTCAACCACAAGGAGCTCTCCCAAGGTTTGGAAAGAGGGCTGGACAGCCATCCATCTCAGTATGGCAGATGTTTGATAAAACATCCCTCCGCTAGCAATGAGGTTTCCTGCCACTTCTGAGGAAGAGCTTGTAAGCGGCCAGAAAGCAGGAGCGGCTGGGCGGCCGTCCTGCTGTGCTGAGCTAACAGCAGATGGCTCTGCCCGCCAAGCTACGCTTCAGCCCTGCTAGGAGTGAGGCTCACCTGGGAAACACCTTTGCCTTTCCAGACAGCTACAGAACCAAGATGCTAAAGACGTACAATGTATGCCGTACTCATTACTTCACTGCAATTTGAACCGACTTCTAAGTTCCATTATATTTTTTTCTTAATAGTAGTTACATACACATTATATATACAGAGGTAGGTGGCACAGCTAATCCTGATGGACAGCCTAAAAATGCTAACAATTAGGTAAGAGAGAGAACATCCAGAAAGTTGAGGCAGATAAAGCATATATTTCCTTTGGAAGTCTATAGTGCAAATACAGGCGTGTGACTGAAAGTCTGATAAAGTACTCCTAACATGGCACTATTTACCACAACACAGAGCTGTAAAAGGGGTTTACCATCAGTCATTTCCTCTCCTCTTCAGTTCAATGCTTGGAGAGCTCCCAAACACAAAGGGCTCTCAAACTGCCCAGAAGTAGGAAATTAAACATTTTTCTCAGCAGAAGATTCCTAATGTGCAGAAAATTCCTCCTAAACACTCATAACCCTCATTTCCTTTCACCTCACAATGGGAAGGTCCTCTTTCTGGGAAACAGGATACATTTCTTGAAGTGCAAGTATCCATTTAAGCAACTACTTCACTTTGGTACATTTGGATGGTGAGTGTCTTTAGTGTGTATCTTCCAGTACTGGTAGGGAAATTAAGACAGTCAGATCTTCCTTTCTGAGGTAACAGAGGGCTGAAACACCAAGATGGGACTACACAACATTATTACTCCCAGATGTTTGGACATTCCTCCAGAAGGGAGTCTCCAAGGCTGCATGAAGCATTGCTCTATAGGTAGTATGCTGCCTGAGCTGGTCTACACGGTACCAGTTCAGGTGTCTGCACCTACAGCTCTTTCCTGACAGCTGGATAATTTCCCTAGAGATAACGGTTGTTTTCCAAATACATCCAAACTCAGTAAAAGTGTAGATAACCCTAGATGCAAATTCATTACTGTCATGAATCCCTTGCACAAAGGTACAAAGAAAGGAATGATACAACTTTAAAAACGGAATTAAAGGCAATTGGTTACTTGCAGATCATTCAACTTAGAGGCCACATCCAATGGAATGATATTACCGCATTACCAGAGTGGCATCAGTACCAGCTAGGTACTGATTTCAAAAGGGAAATTTCTGTAATTTTTAGCATGGTCTGTCTCCTGTGACTATATCACAATCTTAGGGTTGAAAGGCACATCTCTGGGATATCTGAGGAATCAAAATTTAGGTGAAATGCAAGGTGGTAGATGTGTGTCTGGAAATATTACTCTACTTTCACTAACAGATAAATTCCAGTAACACAGGCCTAGAAAATTCATCTTGCATTATGGAGCAAAGAAATACAAATAATGAGGCTAATAGTGGAAATAACACTATTGCCCTGCCATTACTTAACATCACTGAAGGGTTTAGCCAAAATGAAAAAAATTGCTCTATTAAAAAAAAAACAGGAAATTTAATTGCATTCCCTCACAGTACACATGAAGTATGTGTGCCCAGCCTGTGTTATAATAGCAATCCATCTACATTAAGTACTGTTTCCATTAATATAGCACTGGTTGTAAAGGAGTGCTGAAATAGATGGAAATCCTTCCACCAAGCTCAGTGGGCTCTGAATTGCAGTTTCAGAGTTATCATTTTTCTGCTGGAGGTAATAAATCAGCCCAGTAATGATTTGTCATCATTTTGAGCATTTGGCATGGGAGGAACTTCAGCATTACAAACAAAGAAAATAGATCTGAGATGTAATTAAGTGCCCTACTAGTCTAAGATACTAGGTCCAAATTTCCCCCACCTACCAACCAAAATGTGCCTATTTCCTCATTTGTTTTATTTTTTCTTTCATGATACCTCAAATTCTAATGAGAAATGGACCATGTCTCTCTACAATTACATGGTACCAATCTCCCAGCTACCTTTTTAGTAGCAAACACAGATTCTGAGGATTCCAGTGCTTTCTGTTCATCATTGGATAGGACTAGATGACGTGGACTTCTTCATTCAAGCCTTCTGTCCTCTCCAATTTATTCACAGCATTAGCCAGTTATTCACAGTCCTCAAGCAACACCTTGGATGGCTTCAAATCCTTTGAAGCTTTGACAAATGGAGAAAATGCTACCAGGGAAGGAACTTCTGTGACAAATTTCATCTACCAGAAAACACTGACCACATTATCCTTCACATAGGTGTCAAGCTGCAGAACTGATGCTCTTGTTTCCTAGGCAAGTGTGTAAGTAAAGAGCCCATCCAAATAAACATACTGTTTTACTGACAGCAACATCAAGATCGACTTAGCTGGCTGCAAAATATGCTCCTTGCCATGCTAGTGTAGTTGTGAAAACACAAGAATGTACTAATCAGGAGTTTAGAAATCACTTTAATAGTTCCTGCAACACATTCTTATTGGATTTACATTCATGAGTAAATCCAAGAAAACAATGTGATAATTTTAGCACAAAGCAGACAAAGAAGGATTTGCTAAGCTGCTTAGAGCCTTGGCTCTGAAATGCTGGAAAGGCTCAGGTTGATGTATATTTACAGGATAAGCACCATGGATGGGCTGTATCAGACATGACCTGTGTTTTGAATCTTTGAAGACATCTTATGATGAAGAACATATCTCATTCTGCAGTAAAATTTAGCAAGTGAAATCTGACAAAAGGAAGAATCTGTACTGATTCATTATATCATCATTTTAAGCAGCTTCTCAACACTATTAAGACACAGGTATGTAAGATCTTCAATAATGTGAACAGCTTAACTGTGTTAAATGTATAAATTTAAACAAAGATGAATATAAACTGACTTGCCTTTAGCTGTTATTCAAATCACTAAGCTGAGGGATAAAGTTCCTTTATGAAAATAAATATATTATTTTCTTGATTTTTTTTGAAATCTAATGCATTTTAACAGCTGTTTAAAAGCCTCTACTGTGTTTACAATTTGCATAAGTAACTGCCACATGCATCTACTCAAGCTGTTGGATCTGCTACTCTTAAGGGTTCTGGGTTCAGGAATCAAAATATTCCCTTTAGTCCCATATTCCTAGAATGTGATTTTGCATAATGGTCATAAGGAAACAAGTAAGCGCACTGTAACAGCATTACCTTAAGCTATTTCAGATGTCATTTTGGTTTGCTCTATGATTGAAAACAATATAAATTTCAGCCAGTTGAACATGATAAATAGTGGATCAGTTTGGATATACCATACCTCTCTGAATCTCACCAAGGTCTTTCTTAACATAGCAGGTAAAAGTTTCATTCCTTTCTGTGTCCTGCCGTCTCAACCATGATAATCCAATTAATAGTTACTGAAGTAGGAGAATTGTTCTTGTTAATCTTTATTATGCATTTGTAGTTTCTTTATTTGTTTTTTTGAGGAGAACGAATCTTTTAGCAGCTGCACTGATGCATTTCCCAGCATGAAAGTTAACGTGTACTCAGTCACATTGGTCTTAGTAGTAATAAAGAAATGCATATAAATGCATTTAGCTTAATTATTTGTTATAAGCTGATACTGAATGACTATACATACATGAAGATATAGCTTCATATTTACTAGTAAATGACTTTTTTTTAACACTGAGAGTATTTTAATTTATGCTATAGTAAAACTACATCATACATTGATATCCAACAGAAGAATATCAACAGTCCTATTGCTTTCATTCGGGAAAAACAATAATTAAAGCCACATTAGCCTTATATCTACACAAAATGGCTATTCTAAGTCTATGTGAACTCAGAAGACAAAACAAATTCAACACCTTAAAATTGACTCCTTAGCGGCCTAGACTCATTACCTGTGGGGGAAAAAAAAATAAAAGAGAGAGAGAAAAAAAAAGAAAAAAAGCATCATGCAATATTTATTTAGCATTAAATTTAGAATATTTTACCTTCTAATATTTAAATCGCAAATTTTTGTGTAATTATCAAGATATATGCATGAATTGTGCATATGAAAACACATTCAATCTTCACTTCTATAACAAACTTCACACTTCCTTTTTTAGACTTGCCTTTCCTCAGCTCCCACTGGCTTTTCCTAAGAAACACAGGGTATTCAGGATTTCAGATGAGAGGATTTAGCATTCAAACCTCAGCTAAGAGTTTACTTGATTCTAATATTGTTTTAAGGCATACAGTTGCTCTTAACTTGAGTGCAACCTCAATCACACCTCATTTAAGACAAAGGAAGCAGACCTTTCAGACCTTTCATATTTTGTAGGTATTAAACATCAGTCCTGCTATCATCACTTATTCAGACAAGAAGCATCACTAAGGCAGTTAGTAAAGTGGGTGTGGTTTGATCTGAAGGCTAAATATGCAGAAAACATACGTAAGGAAACATTGTAAAATAAACATACAGAAATTACTAAAATGATGTCTGTTCTGTCATGCATGTCATCTGTGGGAAATTACAGTTTATTGTGATGTTGTCATTATAGCAGAAATGATGCCTTGAAATTCAGATTCAGCGTTCACTCCTGCATGACAGATCAATACCACAGGTCAACTATGATTAACCTAGTAATGATGTGCTTGGTGAATATAGATTACAGTTAGAAAGCTGCGATATCAGTTGCTTTTAAGAGCAATTCATAAATATAAAAAATGCAGTATCAACAGTAATCTGTGTTGAAGAGAAAAACAGATCATTTCTCAACTGCAAGCATCAGTAATTACCAAATTAAAAAAAAAAAATAATCACTGGTTGTCCTATGTATTTCTCTTCATGTATAGCTGTATGTAAGTACCTGGGGATGAACTTTGCTAGCACCTTAATGGCTCAGATTTAAAATAAATCGTATCTATACAGATTTGGATGTAAAATGAGCGGAGACTCCCCAATTATTACTGTGTAAGTAACCTTAGCAGTAATACTTCTACCTACTTTCTGAATTGTGTGATAAAAGCTGTGAGTGTTTGGCCAAGCCAGCCTCTCTGGCACAAGGCAACATGGCAGAGGAGGTATTGTCTTTAATTTGTCCTCTCTGATATATGGCAAAGTGCCAAAGAGGACAATTTTAAGACAACACCTCCTCATGCTTATCAATGAGGTACACTGAGCGTAACATCTCCCTCCCTTTCTTCCTTTCCCAAGAACCTTCCCAGACAAACATTAAACCTTAATAATTCTCCTTGGGTGAAAAATAGATGGTCTATAAACAGATTACACAGCAAAAGGGAGAAGAATAACTGCTAGATTTATCCAAGCTTTACCTGGACATCCATAGTATATCAAGTGGCAAATCTCAGGTTCCTACTTCACACTGGCAATTAATGTATTAACAAATTTTTATTTTTAATTAAGTTTTTCAGAGAAAAACAGCAAACATCAATGTATTCCAAATAGCTAAACCAATAGGATCTTATAGATATGGTGACATCCAACCCTATGGATTTGTAAACCAGCTACTATCCCAGTGTGAAAAAGGTGTCCTAACTACAAGAGAGCAGGGACAACTCATGGAGGAATGGCATCCACTATAGCTCTGTTTGATCTATAAGCAGTAAGAAATTGGCCCTTCAGGTGAGGGAAAAAAAAAAAAAAAATAGGGAAGGAAATTAGTTTGGTTGATTCTAAGCTATGTTTATATTTTGACATTTCAGGATGAAAGAAGACATCACTGCTTCTGACTTTTCCTTCATGTCCATGAAAAATGTGCCTGAGGCACCACATCTACAGCGAATTCTTCTTTATGGAAGTGACACATAGAGGTCAGTTTGAGTTATACCTGTTTTGTCCTAAAGGATTGTCCTATGCCTTCTAGTAAAATGTGCAAATAAAGTGGTAATTTCTGCTTTTATTACCGATGGATAATCCAATGTGGTCATAAGAGTAAACGCTATAGTTTAAAGAAAACCGTTAAAATATTTCCAGTTATATTCCAACTATTTAGAGCTGGAATTTCGATGTCATAAGCATTCCACAGATGTATTATATTCAGATCTAGAACTGAAGTGATGGTTTGTTTTACTCTGCAAAACTGAGCTCCATCTAAGAATATTCTGACTCAAGTTAGAAGACCCCCAGTTTAGTACAGTACTGCAATGCAACTCAAAGCAAAAAACGGTTTCACATTTTTGATGACACAATTAACTAATACATCTATTTCTTTTTTCATACAATTTTGTACAAAGATAAGACTGCTCTGTGAAATTATTGGATTACATTAAAAAAAACCAAAACTGTCTCATACTTTCTGATTGGAAGCAACCATTTTTGGCACTCAGTGTGTGTCAATCTGCTGTCCTTCAAGGATTTTCTAGCTTCTCTTTCTATTTAAAATAACTTAAAATGAAATCAGAATAAATTCTATTTCTATTTTAAGTTTTTTGCACTTTTGAATACTACTGACAGTGCAATTTGAATTAATATATCCTAATTTAAAGCCTGGTTCTGAGCCCTTTCACAGTTTGTTACTCCAGAAGCAGCTAAAGTCAAACCAACAGGAATATATTTCAAGATAGGTCCCATTTGGTTTATATAAAGCATAATCTGGCCTTTAATTATTTATGGATTTCAGCAGATAACACAATCATAATATATTTTTAAGGCAATCTAACCATGATGCTGTGTGGATTTTTTTTTTTTTTTTTTTTGGGGGGGGGGGGAGTGTGTGTTTGTAAGTCTTTGGTTTTAATAACACCTTCAGTTTTGTAAAGAAGTAATAGAGTTACTGAGATGAAACCAATGGACTGATTTGAACCACTGGTGTTTAAAAGACTTGTGGTGAGCGTTTGGCACTCAATCACTTACTACCCAAAGTGAATTGCAGAGTTGTTTTCCTCTTTGATGGAAAAGACTGGTAGTGTTAAAATTTCCTACAGAAACAGTCTTTAGTTTATTTTCTTGATGTTTGAAAAATAGCTGATTGCATAGATACCA